GGGGGTGCTCCCAGCCCCCTGCCCTGAGCTGCTCATGGCAGGGGGCTGGAAGGGATATGCCCCATCCCTACCTCTTCTCTGCCTCCTCTACGGAGCAGCTAGCACGCCGCCACTTATCCCCCTCGCAAGGGCCATCAGCTGATCAGCGCAGGGAAGGAGAGGAGGATGGGCAGGAAAGCACCACGCTGGGGGAAGAAGCGGGGGAGGGGGGAAGCTTGGCTGCTGCAGGACCAAGCTTCTGCCTCCTGCCCCCGCAGAGGGGAGCGGTGGGCGGGGGGGCCTGAGTGGGGCTGGGGGCCGGGACCGCGGCAGGCAGCAGCGTACCACTCAAAATCGGCTTGCATGCCGTGTTTGGCACGCATGCCGTAGGTTGCCGACCCCTGAAGTATATTAATGTTCACTGGCCTCAACCTTTCTATCAGCTTGCAGTACAGTCCTTAGAATTACACACAACCACCAGTGAATCTCCCAACCAAAACAGCAACTGAAGTATTTGGCTTAATAGTCTAGCATTATGGAGAGGACTGGAAGGGTTTTATAAAGAAAGAGTTGTGCAAGTGACTATGTGCACAAAATTATACATGCACGGATGGAGGGCAGGATGAAGGCTCTTTAGGATCAAACAATGGTTAATATAAATTCTGCTGTTTTACTGCGTCAAACTGTCTATACTATCTTGTGAAACTAATTCTGTATAACTCTATCCCTAGCTATGATCTGGGGACAGGTAACAGCATTTTTGTGATGGGCAGTTATCCGTGGGAAAGACTTACTAATCAGTAACCCAGAGCCAAATCAGTGAAAGTCTTTTTTCTATTCTTCAAAACAAAAGCAAAAGTAGATTTCAAGTTACATTTTCATAAAAGGACATGAAACAACTAACCTTCAATACTTTTTTGATGCCATTAATAGTGGAAGTCAGCAATGATCTCACTTTTTGATCATCATTAAGGTAATCAGCATGGCGGACACACATGAATAATATATATGCTGGTAGTCCTGGGATCAGGTTGACTGCTACACCACGTGGTTTCAGATCTGGGGAAAACCACACACACACACACGTTATTTTTCTGATAATGCTATTGGATCACAGAAAAATCTTTGCCAGTTAAAGTTTTTTATGGAGAATTACAAAAGGCATCGCCAATATTTGATATAGTAAGCAAGAAGGATAACATTACAATAAAGATGTATACAGTTGAGTTAGTGCATTGAAGAAGACTCATCTTCCTCCAAAATATTAGGTAAACGACATTGCCAAATCTAAAATACCAAACTACCCAGATCAGTTATCTGATCTGATAAGGCAAATCCCAAGTTCCTATATTGTTTATTGCAAATAAGGAAAATATTTACCTAAAATAAGATTCTTGACCAGTTTTGGCTCATCATCCTTCTTATATTCTAACATTCCTTGGAAGTCCTTTTCTTTCCGTGGAATATTAACTGGACGTATGGGTTCATCAATGATTTGCCCAGGCGAAATGTTTTCCATCTGGCCCACTTTAAGAGGGAGGGAAAAAAAACAACTGAGAAAATATTTTCCAATGCAAGCTTTACACGACAGCAGAAATTCCTATGCTCTTACTCAAGAACTCTAACATTTGTCATCAAGGAGTGTTCTTATTTGATTTAGCCTAATACCTCCCAGTACAACTCCCATTGTGCTAAGAGATTTAATTCCTGATAAACATATTATAGGATTGCACCCTCCCTTTTCATCAAAGTGGAAGCGTGTGGGTAACACCCATTAATATTTGTTAACCTCCACGTCAGTGCTCCCAATGAAGTGATGAGAAAAAGACCTTTCAGGCTGTTTTTAGAAATTCAAAACAATTAATTAGTTTTGATTTGCTGGATTTCACATCAACAAAAGTGTAAGAACCAGAAATAGCATTAGTTACATACTGGATTATACTGCAGTGGTCACCATTATGTGTACAGCAAAATGTTAGCATTCTTAAAGGTATGTCTTTGTTACACTAAGTGAGAGATGGTGTTTGAAAACTATTTCAGACCAACCCCTTTCTACATTAGTTTGGCTAATCGGCACAGACAAGGACAAACAACTTTCATAATCATTTTCACAAACTATGCTTTAACCTAAGCATACCCTTAAGTGCAGTTTGTGAAAAGGATGTTGAATGTGGTGTGGTTCTATCTACAACAGTAACCCAATGGTGTTCAAATCCTGTTTAAAATCAATCCACTTTTAAACTTTCTTTGAAATGATTTCATTAGCTTAGAATCAGACTGTTACCACATGACTAACTTGATTTGCATGAAATGTATTATTCCTTTCATCAATCCAACCTTCAATTTGAATTGTAGTGCTCATGAAAAAGACGGGTTATTCACCTTGCATCTAATTGGAGTTTTTTGAGCTGTGTGATACCTATCTGTATTCCACTGCAAGCCTGAGATAGAAGATTTTTACTAGCAGTGACATAGGTCTGCACCTGTGCACTTCCTCTCCTTGTCCTCTGAATTGAGGGTGTAAGGGTCAGTGGAGGCCTCTCCACTTCCTTCTCTACCATGAATCATAAATGAAGGATCCAAAGCAGAAGGGAAGGGGGGTGGGTAGTTGAATACAGATAGGGACCACACATCTCAAAGAACTCCAATTACTATATAAGGTAAATAACCTCTCTTTCTTCTCTGAGTGCTGCTCCCTATGTATATTTCAGCCGAAATTATAATCACTAGAAAGTAACCTTCATAAATAAATGAGTCAGCAAGTATGTTGCTAGGGCTTCAAACAGGACTACGTTAACAATGAGAGAACCAAATTAAGATCCCATGTTGGAGCACGTCTTGTCACCAGTGGGAAGATTCTGACTAGATCTTTTAGAAAATGTACAGTCACTGGATGGGTGAAAATAAAGTGACTGTCAATTGGAGGGTAACAGACACTAAGAGCAGCCAAGTGTACCCACAGGGAGCGAAGGGAAAGACCTGAGGATTTCAGGGAAAGCATAGCCCAAAATAGTAGGATGTCTGATTCTTCTGGGGACATCTGGCGATGAAGAGATCAAATGGAAAATCTCTTCCACTTAGATAAGAAGCACTTTCTAGTGGATTCCTTTCTGCTGCTGCTAAGGATTGTTTGGACATCTGTTCTAGGTTCAACGTTCATCCAGATACCATGCCGTGAAGTGGAAGGAGTTCAGACTAGGATGTCGGACCCTGCTGTGTCCTGGATCAAGAAGTTTGGGAAGGATAGGATATTGATGGGTGACGAGCGACATCTAAGAGAGTTTGGGAAGCCAAAACTGCCTGAGCCATCTAAGAATGAGAATGACCACTGCTCTGTCCTGCTGGACCTTCCTCAGAACTTGATGTTACAGTAGATTGGGTGAGGAAAGCATGCATTAAATGCTTTGACCAAAGGAGTAGAAGCACTTTTCCACTGGAGTCCTGACTTCGAGCACTCCTGGAGCAATACATCTTGCATTTCCTGTTCTCTTGGGATGCAAACAGGCCCCAAGACAGACACCCCCACTATTGGAATATGCTGTGAACCAGAAAATCATGTAGTTCCCATTCATGACCCTTGGAATAGTGCCTGCAGAGGCTGTCTGCCAGTGTATTGTGTATTCCCAGGAGGTATATTGCTGATAGGGTAATCTGGTGAGGAACATACCTATTCCACGGATTGACAGCCTCTATGGCAAAGGGGGGGGGCAGATCTTGATCCTTGGTGCTTGTTGATATAAAACACTGTTGTCACGTTGTCTGACATCACTTGACAGTGTTGGGATTGTATGAGCAGTAAGAATCTTTTGCAGGCCTCTCACACCACTCTCAGTTCTAGGAGGTTTTTGTACATCCTGGGTGCCCGAGGCATCCACATCCCTTGTACTATGTGCTCATCTAGATGGATGCTCCATCCTAACAGGGAGACAGTGGTGATCAATGTTTTCTCAGGGAGGGGAGAAGTGAAGAGAACTTCCATGCACACTTGCTCTCCCACCAATCTAGAGAATCCAGCACTCAGAGCCTATGATATTTCCTCTTTGGTGGAGGTGTCTATATATTCTCAGGGAGCGGAGGGTTGCCCTGGAGTCTTTCAATGAGAGTGCAACGACTCATCTATTTTCTCACTGAATTAAGTTGTTCCCATCGAAAGGCAAATCCGTCTCTGTCCATTGAATGTCCCTGAGGAATTCCAACGAATGAAGCCAGGACTCCCAATACATGATGATAGCCATCACCATCAATCAGGAGGCTGTGTTGGCCTGCACCTACTGCAACTTGGAGAGATGATCTGACAATCAATGGACCCTCTCTAATAAGGGCTTGAAACAGTGCTTTATCCTCTTGTGGGAGCTTATCCATGAACTCTGGAAATTTTGAGTAATTGACAAAATCATACTTAGAAATTAACGCTTGGTAATTGCCTGTTTGGAATTGCAAGGTGGTTAAAGTAAACACCTTCCCACTAAGGAAATCCAAAAACGTAGCCTTCTTATCTGAAGAAGCGTACCTTGATTAATGTTGCCTGCTCTTTTTAGTGGCAGTTTTTACAACTAAAGAGTTTGGGGCTGGATGCATATACAAAAACTCTTCTCCCTTGGATAGCACTAAGTATTTCTTTTCCCTATCTTAGGAGTAGGGGCACATGCTGCTGGTGTATGTCAGACGACTCTGCACTATGTAAAATGTCAAGGAGTTTCTGAGGTATTTCTCTTGGACTTCCTCTAGAGGAATCTGGAGTGTATCAGCAACCCTCCTTAATGAGTCCTGAAACTGCCTGTTAGTTATCTGGTGGAGAAGGTGAGCCTCGGTCCTCAGTGAAGCCAGTGAGAGGCATCAAATATTGGCTGAGGAGGACCCCATGACATAGGGTACAATCAGTCCCGAGATGGGTACCTGTCTTGTGGGGTTTCCAAGGGGCCCAGGAGATTCTGGATCTTCTATCTGGGCTAACATCCTGTCTTGATGGGGTGATGTCAGTCCCTCATTTGCCTGAGGAGAAAAATGTAGGCTCCGACTCTAAGGGTGGTGTCATCAGTACCATGGATGTTGAAATGCCACAACTGGTGGAAGGGATAGGAGAGTGACTTTTCCTTTTGTACCCTCCCTGGACTGATGGTGTCAAGATCTCCCTTGTAAGGACTAGCTCTGATAAGATGGAAGATTGCAGACATAGATGGATAATATCCTCTGGAGTAGTATATGCATCCTGGTAACCAGGGGATGAGGACTGTTCTCCTTGCACTCCATGGAAGCCAGTGCAGAAGCCCACAGAAGTCAAAGCCTCTTTATGAGAATGCAACTCTATGATATTTGCAAGGGGCTCTCAGTGCTTCTCCTGGGTTGGTATCAATGACCGTCCTGGCCTTTGCTCTTGGTTTTTCTCCTTGGTCAGTACCAATGATGGTCCCACTCCTGTTGACGGTGCTGGTATCGAGGCATCTTTGCTCTTTGGAGCCTGCAAGTCAGTACTGTAGCCATTATGAGCTCCTGAGCCTTTTTGACCAGGTGCAAAGTCTTACCCAACTGGATGTTGGAGAACAAGCCCTCCTCTTAGAAGTGGGATTTTTCTCTTGCCTTCTGAGAATGTTTCCTATGAGGAGTCGTCATTGGCTCCTGGAGTCTGCCCCTGTATCAGAGGTTGTAGTGCTAGCAGGTGTGCTTCTCAACGCCTCTGCCAGATCAGACTAGGTCTTCAGAGCACAATCCATCAGAAATGTTTTAAGTCTATATTCCAGCACCTGCCAGGTTCAGCTGGGAAAGGATCTCTAGATGTCGCACTTTGAAGATATGTGCGCTTCTCCGAGGCAGTACAGCATTTCTGATGGTTCTTGTCGCTGACTGGGAAAGACTGGGGGCAGGAGATACAGTTCTTGAAACCTGAGATCCTAGGCATAATACACTCCCAGATTTTAACTAACAAACACAAAAAATATTAAACTATCTCAGTAAATTTAAAAAATATTTACAGGTTAGACACTGAAGAATCAACTTAGTGGACACTGGAGGGTTCTGTGTCGGACCATGACGCAGTAGAAAGGAACTGGAGAGGCAGTTAGTCCACCCCACCTCACCCCTTATGCCCTTGGCTTGGAGCATGAGGAGGTGTTGAGCACAGGCACGGATGAATGGATATTACATCCAGTCTCAGGTACATGGAGCTCATGCTTACCCACAGTGCAATACACAGAGGGACGAGCACTCAAAGAAGAACTGGTTTGTCTGTGAACCTGTCTCTGATAAACAAAGAAGGGATTCATGCAGAATTTTTGAGGGATATGTGCCAGGAAGTAATTATAAACCAACATCCTCTTCAGTTTTACAGTCCTGTTAATCACTTGTAGCAATAAAAAAACCAACAAAAAACAAAAAACACTTTTAGTTGTCTTTCTCAACATCACACACTTCGTATTACAGACTTGAGATCCTAAACTGATACTCACTGTGACATAATAAAAATAACTTTGGTTTATATCTCTGAAAACTCACATTCAGTTATGACCATCAACATTAAAAGAAAACCAGAGAGCAGAAAAACAAAGATTATCTGCATCTTTGTTAGTGCTAGGGAAGCTCATGTTTCAAAATAAAGTGGGACATTTATATTTACCATGCTCCTCCATAGAAATATTTTCCTCTTGGCAAAAAACTGCATATTATCTTGGGTAAATAAAGAACACAAACTGCGTGCTGTTTTGCAATCAACCTGGTGTTTCCTTTCAGTGAAACATTCATCCTTTTTTTCCCTCTTCATCTTCTACCATGTAGCCAATTAGTTCATTTTTCATCCATTTATCATGTTATTTATTGTTATGGTCAACTCATATGCTATTTGTATATAATCCATATATGCCAAATAAATTTAAATTATAGGATTATAGAAACATAAGATTCACAGGTATTTAGGATTGCTAAGTGTATATTAGGTATATATGTAAAGCATGGCTGGAACACAAGGCCTACAGGCTGAGGCCTGTAAGATTTTAGCTTAGCCATACTAGGTTGTAGGCTTAAGAACGCTTGACATGAGTGGGTGACCTATGACTAACCCTCTGCCAGTAAGGTTACAATATTACTGAAAAGAATGGGCCAATAGGTTATATTATGGGAAATATGTTGTAATGTACCCGTCTAGACTGCAAGACACCTAATTGTAACATCATGGGATGTCCTGCTTTGACCGCAGGTTACCATGGACCCTGTTGTGCATAGATGCTTATGAGAATAAGGGGAACTAAGATGACGACCTATGTAAAATGGGGCACCCCAATATTCATGGAGTGTAGAAGTACAGATAAGGAAAAGAGGGTTGAACCCTCATGCATATGCATAAGGTATTAGGTGCGGTCAGAACAACAATATAAAATACGTTCCCTGATTGGGTAAAAGAGGGAAGACCCTTGGAAGACCTCATTGGGATGACTCCAGCAGGAACCACCCACCCGTCTCGATGGCCACCTGTTGAGAGATCCATCCAACTCTATGAAATCTTTGCGTATGTGAGTATGGATGTGGGACTGGCCAGTGCATGGATTCTCTCAGGTTGCGTAAATCGGTATGTAGTATAACTTATAATACAAACAATATATTTTATTTTTTTTACTTCTAAACTTTGTTGTTACTGTCCTCATTCTTCATGTTCCTAGAGCCTCCAAATCTCTATCCTATTTATCTTTAAACTGTAGCAACAGAAGCCGGACTCATTGTAATTTACCACAGAACTATCAATTCATTCAATTTAAAATAAAGGCTACAAAATCAACATTAACTATTACTTTAGAAGTCATCATTATAGAGGATCACACACTGCCTTCAATATGCACACAGACCTCTCAGTAGATCTTCAATTTCCATGCTAAGCTAACATTGGCTTATGCTGCTTAAGACTCATTGCCTTACTAAAAAACTACATACAAACATTTGGTGAAAGAGTTCAACAGGAATTGGAACAAATCTCTCTCTCACACACAACATTATAAATACCTTCAAGTTCACCAATCTTTTTAGCAAACACTTTCAGCTGCTTTTTCAGCTTGCGAACTGTCTTGTCCTGCTTTTCAAGCTGCTCCATTAAATCCTGTACATTAAAATAAGTGATAAGATTCAGGTACTAGACAAATGTTATTACATGTGAAACAGACAAGATTAACACTATTAGTGTCACAAAAGGGACTGTGAGAAAAGCTGAAAGGAAATGCCACCATCTGGCTGAAATTTGCACGCCTGTACACTGCGTAAAATTCAAGCCAAACATTATCAAACATATTGTCAAGCTGCAGCGTGATGGAGGCAGAACTCTTATGCAGATATATTTTGCGGATGCCCACGTATCCTGGTCAGTGATTATGGTGAGTGGAAGAGATTGTATAGTAACATCTATTCTAGGCTTCCCATTATACTGCTAACCTCAACTTCTGCATCCTCTATTCCTGCCCTCAGGCCTGCCTTTAGCCTCACAAAATGGAATAGGGTTTTGTTTTGTTTTGTTTTTAAAAAAAAAAAGGGGGGGGGAGTACAAGACTCAAATTCAGCTTTATAAAATACATGATATTTGTTGTAACCCTCATGCTTTCTCTCTGCCATATCACCATCTGTCTGCTGTCATCACATTTACTTAGACTATAAGCTCACTGGGGCAGGAACTATCTTTTTGTTCTGTGTTTGTACAGCGCCTAGCACAATGGGGTTCCAGTCCATGACTAGCTCCTAAGCACAATCACTATACAAATAATAACAGGTAATAATAATACACTCACTGTGCTCTCTCTTATTTAAGGCATGACTATATGGAGAGTTACTATGCAGCAAGCTGGGGCATAAATCTACAGCACACTAGCCTGCCATATCCTAAGTTGCTGTATGGACCCTGCTACTGAGCACTAGAAGTTCACAGTACCAGGGGCAGCTGTATGTTTACTGCTGCCCCAAGCACGGCAGTCAGGCGTCTTTCGGTGGCGCGCCTGCGGGCGGTCTGCTGGTCACGCTGATTTGGCAGCATGCCTGTGGGAGGTCCGCCGGTGCCGCGCCTTCGGCGTCCCTGCCGCCAAATTGCCACCGAATCCGCGGGACCGGCGGACCTCCTGCAGGCATGCCGCCCTCACAGTGACCGAGAGGCCACCCCCCGCGGCTTGCCGCCCCAGGCACGCGCTTGCTGCGCTGGTGCCTGGAGCCGCCCCTGCACAGTACGCTTTGACTTACTGCTGTTTGAAGCTACAGAACTATTAGTACATAAGGTTCACTTGGTGATTTAGTGAACATCAGGCTAGTGCACTGTAGATTTACACTGCACTTGCTGTTTAGACAAGCCCTTGGACAGCAAGTGCTTCGGAAAAAGGACCTGCCATCTTGTAATTTTGTAATGCACACTATGGTGCTGAATAAAAAAAAATCAATAAAAAGTTTAAAATAATTTGTGGAAAGCCTTTGAAGATTACATTAACACAGAAAAACTCAAAAGCCATTTAAGATTAAGGGTTTGAAAGCATTTGAAAAAAAAAAAAAAACTACACTCAGTAAATCTTGGTTCTTTATTATACTGATGGGAATGTGAGGCAGAGTAGCATGTACATTCTGAACCAGAAGCACCCATCAGAGAAGCTATAATTCTCTAAATGTATTGGAAAATATTAACAGGTCTTTGATAATTGGTGGGAAGTGGGTATAAAATTGATCTCGATATTTGCACCCCAAAGAGTTTACCACCTAAAATGTGACGAAACAGCAGGAGTCAGGTTAAAGGTCTGTTAGCCAATAGGACAGAGTGGCAGTTCATATTCAAAGCAGTAGTTAAAATAGTTAACAAAAAATTCCCATTGACTCCAGGTATAGCATTTCTTTTATTAAAATTAAAGAAAGATGCATGTCTAAATGCACTAGACTGCTTTCAAAATCTCAACCAAGGGATTTGATTTCTGCACCACAACAAACAGGTGTGGTGAAAAGACACTTTCATAGTTCGTCTAAACAAAATCAGTAGTTGTGAGCCTCTCACTCATTTGGAAACCCATAAATGAATTTATATTTTCCTGGTTTTGCCTTTGTTTTTGTTCTTTGTGAAAATCTTAATTAAAAAACAAACAGAGTAAGTACTCAATAGAGTATTTTGATTCCACCACCTTTATCACAAGTTGATTCCACAGTTTCATAGAAGGATCCAAATCCTACAATCATTCACTAACATGAATAACTGTGAGTAGTCCTAGTAACAAACACTGGCTTCAATAGGACTATTCATTTTAGTCGGCACTATGTATAGCAGTCACTCTCTGCAGGATCAACTTGCAATTTTCCTGAATCAGATTTTAATGTTTCACCTTTAAAATTTTTAGCAAAGAGCAAATTTGGAAACTAAGTATTTTAGCATCACAAGCTTCATGTTCAGGATGCCAATTTTGATCCTAAAATGTAATTTTATATTCAAAATTAGGCTGCTTTGATCACGCTACAAGACTCAGATTAGTAACAAACTGTGTCAAAAAGAGACATTAAGATTACACAAATGACACTAAAGACTGACAACAAAAGCTGTAGGGGGAAAATGGACATTGTGAAGCTCTCTGTAGAGGGTTTCCTTGGAGAGAGGAAAAGGCAGCCAGCTTGCTCTTCAGTTCAGTGCTCCAGAAGTAGCAAACAAAACAACAGAGAAACATGATCTACATACAATCATCCGTTTGTAAAGTGAAATCCGATACGACTGATACTTCATGGGGTCATCTGCATATAACTCCTCATAAAACTGAAAAAATAGGTACAGATTTTTTTTTCTCCTCCCTTTGAGACACTAATATTTCAGCAAACACTGTATAAACAAAGTCAGGTTAAAACAAGATTAAGAAGCTCATTTTTTCTGGTAGGCTAAGTTTTATGTCCTGCTGCTGTTGTTCCCTCCATCTGCCCATAGACAATGTTTGATTTAGATGAACTGACATGAGTAACAGCAGAAACAGATTCCTAAAGAATGAGTCTAAATGTGGCAAGTAATATTCCCTTCTTTGGATGTGAAAAGAAAATTCCTCTGGGATGGAATGATGTGACTATGTGTTGTCTTGGGAGGCTAGAATCCATTGAGTAGCAATCTCTAAAAGGTAGCTAAATACCAAAATATAGGCTAAGTATCTGAAAGGAGGAGCTATACAGATGGAAAAGCTTTTATCATTTAATTTTTCCAGCTGGGTAAGGTTATTTCTGGGATAAATTAGTAAAAAGCCTTCAATCATAAACTTACTTCCAAGACCACTATCTTCAGCCCATCACTTTCTGTCAAAACCTCAGACACTACAAATATAACCCAATGTTAAGAAGGGCTGTGATATACTGAAATGGGAAAGAACATCTCTCACTTTGTTTAGAATTGGGGACCACCGGTGTCAAAGCGCAGGTAGGAAAACTTCCTTTCTCCTTAAATTAAATTAAATTAATGGAGATATCCCATCTCCTAGAACTGGAAGGGACCTTGAAAGGTCATCAAGTCCAGCCCCCTGCCTTCACTAGCAGGACCAATTTTTTTGATTTTGCCCCAGATCCCTAAGTGGCCCCCTCAAGGATTGAACTCACAACCCTGGGTTTAGCAGGCCACTGCTCAAACCACTGAGCTATCCCTCCCCTTAAAAGCAATACAACTCAGTTTGCTATGTAAAGTACATTACAGGAGAAAGATTTTTGGGTAATGGGCAACAATGTGCCAGCAATATTTCAGTCTGGGGCTCCCAGAGAAAATTCCCCTATTAATCTGTTATGAACCCTGTATGCCAGTAAGCATGTGCTTGAAGAGAAGAGGGTGACAGGCCGGGGAATCTGTTCATTTCTTCTTTCATTCATACAAAAATGCTGTCAAATAACCAAGGAGGGAGTTAACCCCATTTGGCCAAGAGACTTCCTGAAAATGTTTGTTCCTCCAACATAAACTGAATAAACAGAGTATAGTGCCTTGTTTGACCGATGTTATTTGAGATGGTGGGGAATGAGGAAGATAAGAGACTTTATAAGGCACTTGGGAGTTTATCTTCCCCCAGAGTTTTTCTAAAAACACCTGACACTTTGTGTAATTTAGTGCATTCCAGGGCAAATACTTTGCAGAAGTTTACATATAAACTCCAGGGATAAGTTTCCTATTAGGGATGATTTACAGTATCTAGAAAGGGGGAAGGGGGCATCAGATGTCAGATAATTAGCCCAATCCTCTTTTCAATTTGGTGGTGGAACTGTAACAGGAGATTTAGAACGCTACCTCCAGCATAGTGCTGGTAATGAAAATCATACCAGAGGAATTTCCTCATTCATATGATGGGCTGAAATGTTTATACCCCAACAGCATGAATTTTGTCATTTAATCTATTATAGTGTTACCCTACATGCAAAAATCTACTGCAAACATGCAATTGACCTTGGGAGTTTCCCACTTGAAAACTGGTGACAGTATATGTGTCTCTGTAACTCTCGCTACATCTCCTAGCATTTACATTGCAGTAGTATCTCCCTTACCAAGTTTTCATTAGTCAGCCGGGTGATCTCATGCTGTAGACTGGCCTCAATCCGGGCCTCCGGGGGCAGCTGCAGGTTCTGTGCTAAAAGCTGCTGCTGGCGGTTATTCTCCTCCTTCAAACTCTGCATCTCACCCCGGAGAGCTTCCAGCTCATTGTCGTGACTCTTCTTCTGGGACTGAAGCTGAGATTCGAGGAGCCTACAAAAACCCAGCAAGATCTGAGCGAGACACTTGGCATTTATATCCCAAACGCTCACCAGGCGCCTAAAGCGTTAGCCGCTGCGCAGATATTTAGCTCCTGACTTGCAAGGAAAAAGGAAAAATGCAGAGTACTCTTTAAACCCTTCCATATGCCTTCTGATTAAATTATCAAACAGTCAAACAATGGGAGACCGCAAAGTAATGCTGATACTGCTTTGCATTTCCTCTGTGTTTGAGCAAGTACTATCTATTGGTAGTACTGAAAACATGCCATAACATGTAACGTATCTGTGAATCTCTTTTGTCTGGTGATGTTTCTACAAGGGCCAAGAACATTTTCCATGTTTAAATAGGTCAAATAAGATTTAGAAGATGCTTTATTTGTTTAAAATAGGGCCCATATGGTATTAACAGAGAAATCTTCTTCCAGGTTAACTCTGTTCAGTAAGAAACCTTCTTCCAGGTTAACTTTGTTCAGTAAGAAACTGAACATTCAACTGCAAATGAACCCAAATCAGCCTGATTCGATATTTAAACATGCATTAGCCAATTTAATAGAGGATTATTATGTGTGCTAGAAATGTGAGCTAGGGAATGGAGCACAGGATTAGGACCCAATAATTTAAGTTTTAATCCTGGCTCTACCTCTGACTCACTCTTTGATCTTGGACAAATCACTTATGTCTCAAATACTCCAAATGTGAAATAGTTGCTTACTTCAAATGAGTGCTGTGTGAATTAATTTGTATTTGTAGGGCAGTATAAGGCTATGTCTACACTACACACCACAGGCGGTGGCTGAAAGGCAGGTGCAATGTAGACGTACCCTTGGAGTGCTACGACTCACTCTCTGCGGTGTGTACACACAGGAAATGGCATCAACAGTGACATTGGCACTATCAGAAACACTTTCAGGGTTTAAATATGAATAAGGCAGACAAGTTAACTAGTAGCTACATTGAACAAGCATGTGAAGGCAAATAGTCATTTACCTTACAGAACTCTGCCTCTTGCTCTAACGCTTGTTGACTACATAGCGCCAGTACAAGAAACAAAAGATGCAAAACGACCACTCTCCATCCCTCTCTGCATTACATTCGCTATTCTAAGTTAGTGCTTAGCAGACTTACAAAAGCAGCTTAGGTTTAGGATTTGTTAGCATAAGGGAAGGAAAGACATTAGTTAATAGCATTCATTACAAAGTATCTGTTTTGGTGGCTACTGCTTTGTAAGTGTATAGGGATTAAAAACCAATGCTAAACTAATGGGTTATCACAAATGGAAGACTATGGACATTCTAGGAAAATTCTGAAAGATGAACACATATTATGAATGAGTGACTGTATTCGCTTACAAGATGCTACGTGCACTTGGCCAATTAGATGCCCAACTAGCAGTTTGCGCACACATTTTCAGGTGTTGCAGTGACTGTACACACATTTTTGTATACCACCCTATCATTTGAAAATTTCTTTCTATCTTTGAAAGTTACATTTTGAATGGACACTTCTTTTAGCATTGGCCTCTCCAAGATGATTGTGTACAATTACTTATCCTCAGTCAAAATAAGAAAAATAACAAGAAAAACTTTAAAAGAAAATAAAAAGTACACAGAAGCTATTTAAACAATAGCATTAAAAATCAATTAAATCACTGTACTTCCTCAAACTGAAAAACAATAAGGCAAAACATTTCCAGATACAACATGAAGGTAGACAAGTAACATATAGTTACAAAGCCTCTTTCATTTCAGTTGTAGAACTGCTGGTGTTTTATATTGTCCATTTCTGTCCAGTGTACACATTTTGTATTGGATCATATTTTCATTGTTACAGCCATCTTAAGTTTTTAATGGCATGCCATGGTAGGTAGAAAGATTCACAGACCAGGCTTTGGGTAATTCTTCTACTCTTTGTAGAAAATGATAATGATCAATTATTTCTGAACTATTAGTGCATAAAAAACATTGCAGCTAAAGCAATTCCATAGCAGGGGGCACAGTTAGTAAGAAGAGAGAATGCAAAATGAAGAAAACCCCATTCTGGTAACCTGTTGGTTTGTTTTAACCCTTCATAAACCAGCCATAGTTCTCCATCCTCATTCAGCATATGATAGTCCTGAAGAGATTGTCTTCCAAGCAAAATGTTTAAAAAATGAAAAACACAAAAGGGATACATGATGATGATGAGAGGATACATTAACAAGGGAAGAAAATGTTAAAATTACAGTTATGAAAGGGAGACGTGATACACAACACTTTAATCTATACAGCTCTAAAGCTACTTAGTAAAACATTGATAAACTTGATTGCACATAGTTTCACTACCTGAGCAATTCTGTTCTGAATGTTAAAGAACACAGTGTCGCTTACTGCATTTCATACTATTACAAAACATGCGTAATTATAAATTGCTATGACAATTGCTAGTGAAATGTTACCAAAGACAAGAGGAATGGCACACACACAAAAAGAGGGGTATCATACAAAGGTAATTTTAGCACCAGCGTCAATTACAAGCATGGATGATGGAAACCCCAGGAAGCTTGATTTTGCATTTATATATTAGTATTTAGAATATTAATTTGAATTTTGCAAATAGCAGTCTTACCCATCAAAATAATGAAACCCCAAATACAAATGCATTTAGTCTCATCTTGATGCAACTCGAAGTATGGTACAACATAAGTGAGGCAGAAATGGGTTCAAAGTTATTATGATAAGCAAAATAAATACAAAACATACCTGTTTGTTTCCTTTAGCCCAATATATGCCTGTGCTATTTCTCCTTTGTCTTTCATCTTCTGTACATCCTCCAAGAGGATTGTAGAATCTGTCATAGTATTCTGTGGGGAAAAAACAGTTCCAGGGTACGGTTTAACACTTCCAAATTAATGAAGGGCTAGATTTTGCCACCTTTACTCAAGTTGAATAGCACCTTACTCCTTGTGTAACCCCCACTGAAATGAACAGTTCTGCTTGGGAGAGAAAGGGTAACAGAATCTGGTACATAGTCTCTACCTGCCATACAGACAAACTATCTTTTAAAATGTACCCCTCACAACACACTGAAATATCTCGATCTCTAACTCTATCTACCAAGTGTGTGCGTGTGCCTATACCTCCCTTTCCTCATCTGCCCACCATCTAAAAAGAACAACATAAACTCATGAAACAGTGAATTCACATTTTAGTTTAAATTCTCGTGAACTGTCATCTTATAATTTTTTTAATATAAGCATCATAATTTTCAAAAGATGTGTTCAATTCACAAATACATTTTATTGCTGTTTATGATTCATAAATGGTAACATTAATTGTGTCATATTTGGAACTTTGCAAATAATTTCCATTTCCACCTTTACACATTTGTAAAGGTTATTTTGGAAAGTCTGCAGTAATTTACACTGCCAAATTCTGCAAGTAAAAGACCATCATCACCTGATTTGTTCAACTCAGAGTTCAATGTACATAGTTCAAGTTTTGCTGCTGGATTTTTTCTTTTTCTTCACTTAAGCTCAGTAAGATTTTTATCTGATTTCTCCAATTGCATATGCCAAGTTGTTTTTAACCTTATGTCATTTTATGTGGATGATAATGTAGTGAAGCCGCGTGACTTTAATGGATACCAGAAACTAAAGCCTGACATTTCTGTTTCACTCTCACAATTAAGTCCCACTTCTCTGAGCAAGACTACTACTAAGTATTTAAGACTTAGCTTGCACAGAAGATATTTGCACCATAGGTCTGTACACTCAGAATGCAGTTTTGCAAGATTTGCACCTTATAGTATGAGAAGTGACAAAGAACATGATCTCCCCACAGTTATTGCCAGCTTCCTTGTTAGCCTACAGTAACCTTTTCCAACTGCAAAACCATAAATGTAAGAAATTATTCTACATTTTCGAAGTAAAACTGCTATAAGTCTGTCTGCTAACCCAGTTAAGCTTCAACATGCATATTCTGATCTTTGTGTTGATGAAATAAATACTATTTACTCTCAGATCTCCAGGGTTGCCATGAATGGTATAGTTGTAGTAACATCTGAATGAAAGGCCTTCACTACAAACAAAACGTATGGAATATAACTATGTTCTTCTCAGCTCTGTGCATTGTACCTCTCACCTAAAACTTCTAATCCAATAACTTTCAGCCTTTCCCGCCAAACATTTTTAGATTGTAGTGCTCTGGATTAAGTCATGCGTATGTTATCTTTGACACATTACAACACTAAAAATCAAGGCAATTTTTCACATCACAGACTCTTATGTGCGATTTACAGTTACATAATTGTAATATTACCATCTCTAAAGAGGGATCTGATTCCCAATTTCCCCTGGAACTGTGCTGCTCTTACTCCCCAAACACGTTTGATAAAATACATTAATTCAACTGACTGAATAAATTTCAGGATTTTTTAATTCAATCTTTAAATTACCATAAACTACCAGTATCACCTTAGCTCTAAATTGTTAATATGCTTGTTTTAAAGAACTTGCAGATTAATTTTTTTCTTATTCCCTTAGGGGAAATGAGAAAGATCTCTTCAATTACTGCAAAGGTGAGTACTAAACTTCAAACACATCAAATTATTTGTGACCTAGTGAAGTGACAACTCAAACATGTTTCATATTTGATGGTGTTTTTAGCCTGTAAGAAATCTGGTTTACAGCAGTGAAAAAACGTTTACCTTATCCTCCTGGCAATCAAATCGGCAAGCAAGAAGGAAGAGAAACAATTAATCAGCAAATTCTGTTCCTGCCATAGCTGTCCAAACTAACAATCAAAAATTATCTGCAAACTTATCATTGTCCATTCCATTGGTCAGCTTTTTATTTCCCTTGTACTCCTACAGGTGTGAAAACAACACCTGCATCTTGTTGTTAGGACCAATTTATTCTAGAATTTATTTATAATATTTAAAATATTCCAGTAACAGGTTTTGTTCCCTTTATAACTAATTATGTTAAAAGTTAAGACATGCACAGCCACATGTATCACAGACTTTCAATATATTTAAAAACATCTCTGTACAGTAGCAGGGGAAAATGGTAACACCCACACTCAGTTCCTGGTGGGTTTACCAAGCTCTGGATGGTTCACTCCTCCAATCCAATTACCATATCTACCTGTTTGGTGTTATCTGCAAAGTCCTAATGTTTTTAGATTAAAGAGCTATTACTTTCAAGTTGAGTCCTGCTTTTGAAACTGTGAAAGATCCTAAATATCTCATCATCAGAACTACAGTTTTATTCTCCTTGAAGATATGTACTTAAGGGGACTTTGATGGTACCTATTGCTCTTGATAAGATAACATGACAACTTAACCATTCAGCTGGAATATGCACAACATTGTAAATTATCCTTTTGACTCTTTATTGCAACTTGGAAACAAAGAAAGGTGATCATTTATGCCCAGAGTTAGATCTGGAGGAAACATTTCCTGCTACCTCCTACTGAACTATGAGCTGGGGGAATATAGGAGGATTTCTGGGAACTGTAGTAAGTTTGCCAACTGACCTAAATATTCATAAGGGACTTGTGCCACTCATGCTGAATCGCACCAACAAGCAGTTGACAGTGATATTTGCATTGCTAGCAGAGTAACTAATTTAAATGATGGGGGGTGCTCTGAGTTTTCTGCAACAGAAATACTGCACAATTCCAATCAATGCTCTTCAATTATTTTTGCTGCCAGCTTCTAAATACGGCCAGGCTTTAACACTTTGTCTGAATTAAGCATGCACTTAGCAGTCAAGGGAAAGAAATATTGTTGGCAGTTAAACTAAGTTACACTCTTTGTCAATTTCTCACGTAAATAATCATCTTCTGAATATCTTGGCCAAATGTCAATATATCAGCCCTGGTCTGACTAACTAGTGAGATATGTTAAGGAAAACGGTTGGCTTGCAGGCCAGAAATCGGTCTAGTTAATGGAATCTTCCACTTTGGCGTATTCTAATTTTGTGTTCTTATAACAACCCCTGCTCATCCCTAAAAAGGTTTAAAGGACCATGTGTAGATTGGGGAGGGAAACTGGTTTGGCTCATATAAGAAAATCATCACAACACTCCCAGGTAAAAAGTAGTAGCTTAATGCTGCAATTTAACTTTACTTCTCAAGACATCTGCAGGCTATTACTTACCTTGGGTTGAATAGCCTCCTTCTGACTCACCAGCTGAGACCTCAGGATGAGGACTTCTTCTTTGCGTACATCCAGTTCCTCACTTACTGAGGTCAGCTGATCCAGGAGGACTCTATAGGCAGGGGCACCAGGAGCAGTCACCTCTGGAGAGCTCTTCTCCAAAAGAGCCTTCTGCAGCTCATTCAGCTCATTCTTCAGCTTCTTGTTCTCAGATTCAAGTTCTTGACGCTGCAAAGAAAAAGGACATCCCCATCACTTAGCAGAACCCCTTCTACTCCTCCACAACAGTTACATAGAATTACGAACCACAGGACAGAAGTGTTAAAATCTCTCCCTTTTTCCTGATCTCTTAGCCATAGGGAACAGTGCCTAGAAGGATTTCACTAATTGGTCTACCCTTTGTCTGAAGTACAAAACCAGAAACACCCCCGCGCTGGCCCCCATAAAGGCTCAACTGAAAAATGTCCATTAATCTCTTCCTCCTCTCCTCTTCCCTTGACACAAAATTTTTAAAGAATTTCTATTAGACCCAAGCCAGCTTGTGCCTAGCAGGGCTATCAAGATTCTGCACTGTGGTACAGGGATATGTCCGCCTGTTTGGTATGGTCCACCATATGCAACAATATTAGCAAAGCCATAGGCTAGGTTCATTGGTGTATCTATTATACAAAGCAGCCTTAAACCCAGTTTAACCAGCTGCAGGGAAGTCCCGTGTGTAAGGAGCAATTCCAGTAGTGTAGTCCCCTGCCATGCCTTCCTACAGCTCACAGTGAACAATTATGCAATAAAATGTCTATTGAGGAGGTTCTTCCTGATTCCTTCTCCAGTTGACTTACATCCTGAAGCAGGAAAGATATTACTTACTATCCTAGCTAATGTAAATGGTGATAACATTCTTACTAATCCTTTAAATACCAGAAGCCTCCTATCCAGAATTACCTTAAGTGACTCATACTCTAGTTCTGCGCCTCTCATTGGGGGCCTTTCCTCCTCCTCCTAGGAAAGAACACAGACAAAAGTAAAAATAAATTCCATCCTTCATCTGTTACTAACAGGAGTCAAGGCAGAAAAATGAAAATGTGCATTTTACTGTCATGATGGGAGTTAAAGCTATCCTTCCTGGGAAACTAAATACAGAGTATTTAGCCCTATACCTCTGAGCATTTTGTGTGGTATGTTTAAATTGCCTTGTTTCATTTACTTATTGTGCTTATCATAGATAAATAAAATCAGGTGCAAATCGGTAAAGTTATTTGAATAGGGACAGAGAAGATCTACTCTAAATACTAAATGCAAAGAGGCTCAAGAAATCCATCAACAGAAGGGAAATGAGAAACAGTTGCCAAAAAAAGTATTTCAAGAATATAAATCAGAGGCAAGCCTAAAAAAATCCCCCAGATCTGAACGATCGTTATCTTCGGATCTGGATTCAGATCCAAACTCTTTGGCTTGATTCTTCCTGTAAGGTAAATACTGAAGAGAACAAGGAATTGTTTAAGTAGAGTGTTAAGTGTTAGAGCACTTAATATAAGTGTCACGATTTTCAAAGGCACCGATTACCCTCAGCTCCCATTGAGTTTAATAGTGGGTTCCTTAGCAACTTTGGAAAAAAAACAAAATCAGCCCAGAAAAAAGCTCAAAAGCTTGTCTCTCTCACCAAAAGTAGTTGGTCCAATAAAAGATATTACCTCACCCTTGTCCTTCTAAGATCCGCCCACTTATTTTAAATGCCACAACGTGGATTTAGGAGCCTGATTTTAGGTACTCAGGCTTGTAACTTTTGGCCAAACAAAGTAAGTACTAATGAAACAGATGGTTTTATAGAAACCATTCAGCAGGCCAAATTGTCTATATGTTACTAAGGTGGGAACAACACAAGGTCCTCATGTGACTGGCTAGATGCACTCTACCCTGGTCTTGGTGCGGAGAGCCTGTTCCTCCTTCCTGTCCAGTTCATCCTGCAAGGATTGCTTTTCCTGCTCCAGCTCTGTAACCCGTTTCTGCAGTTTGAGGAACAGAGACATGTCCAGCGGTGCCTTTTTCTCACTTGGGTCCTGCTTGAAGAAGAACACAGCGGAGTCAAGAAGGGTCACCATTCCATGTCAGGAGCAAAGGGTATTGTGAGAAGAGAGGGGAGAAAGACTGGGGAAACAGTTACTTGATTCTGAGAGCTGCATATTGGCGTCCAAAATGTATCACTAACCTTCAAAAGATTATTTTAAAAGGAATTGACTAGTATAAAAGGTATCTAGCCTAGAGCTTTAAAGGCAGAAAAAACTAGATGCTAACTCTAAGGCATAAAGTCTAATTAATCATACCTCTTTTTCTTACTTGTTTGGAGGGGAGAAGGGAGAAAAGAAATAAGTTTGCGGTTAGATTCACTATGAAACAAACTAACTACAGGCAAACTTTTCCTAATTTTTTAAACTATTGTTGTTAGGTTCTTTAGTTAAAAGCAAAGTATTACATAATTTCTTTATTTGGACCCACCATTAAACAACCCAATAAACTGGGGTGTGACATATAAAAATGACCAGAAGGAAGTGATTTGGGTACATTCAGAAGTTTCCTGCCCTTTTTCTTGTACTACTGTAGCTGCACTGTATATTCTTGGATTAATCAACTAGTCTTCTTTTGGTATCTTGGTGTAAAGGTCATCATTTGTAATTCAAAGTTGTAACGGAACTTGTTGGAGGCAAATATTTTATAGCTTATCATGTTTTAATGAAGACTAAGCAGTTACTGTGGAGTGCACCCTAATCCTTTAAAGCCTAGAAAGGATATTAGAAAAGATACAACTATGCATGTATAAGGCAAGCAAAGCATTTATAACATTTTAGTATATAATGGTCACAAACTACAAAAACCTCCAGATACCCTCAATTTCTGCGGAATTTGTGTTTAAATTTGGGGTTCTGGCTTGAAATTATCTCAACTTTTTTGGATACTGTTTATTATTGTTAGCCTTTATGTTTAACGGTGCTTTCATTTTTAATAGGTTAAATTAATGGAGATCTAATCTCTCTATCTGCTGAAGCATGTACACAGTCCTGTGTGGGTTACTTTATTCATTAAGATTCAAAAGAACAAAATTGCTGTGAAGCATGATTTTGGAAAAAAATAAAAAAGCAGTTAAATAAGGCTGCCAGCCAATGTGAGAAAAAACATTTGGATCTCATGAGAAACGCTATTACATGCCACTACACATGACAGCTTCCATCTATCCATAAAGATGGGCCCATGTCCTGCTAAGTAAATTACCCCATGAAATGATGGGGTCTAAATTAGCTGTTACCACTAAAGAAAGAGATCCTGGAGTCATCGTGGATAGTTCTCTGAAGACATCTGCTCAATGTGCAACAACAGTCAAAAGAGCTAACAAAAAGTTAGGAACCATTTGGAAAGGGATAGATAGTAAAACAGAAAATATCATGCCACTATATAAATCCATGGCACGCCCACGTCTTGAATACTGCGTGCAGTTCTGGGCACCCATATATCCAAAAAGATGTATTAAAAGTGGAAAAGGTGCAGAAACGGACAACAAATGATTAGGGGTCTGGAGCAGCTTCAATATGAGGAGAGATTAAAAAGACTGGGGCTCTTCAGCTTAGAAAAGAGATGACTAAGGGGAGGGAGGGGGGATATGATAGAGGTCTATAAAATCAGACCTGTATGGAGAAAGTGAATAGGGAAGTGTTATTTACCCCTTCACAGAACACAAGAACCAGGGGTCACCCAATGAAATAAATAGGCAGCAGCTTTAAAACAAACAAAAGGAAGTACTTCTTCACACAAGGCACAGTTAACCCGTGGAACTCATTACCAGGGGATATTGTGAAGGCCAAAAGAAAACTGGGTTAAAAAAAAAGAATTAGATAAGTTCATGGAGAATAGGTCCATCAATCGCTATTAGCCAAGATGGTCCGGGACGCAACCCCATTCTCTGGGTGGCCCTAAACCTCCAACTGCCAGAAGCTGGGACTGGATGACAGGGGATGGATCACTCAATAATTGCCCTGTTCTGTTCACTTATTTTGAAGCAGCCTGTATTGGCCACTGTCAGAAGGCAGGACACAGGACTAGATGGACCACTGGTCTAACCCAGGATGGCCATTCTTATGAAAAATGGAAGTAGAAATACATGACATCTAGAGGATCTGCACAAGCTATAACTTGATTTCAACAGTTTGTCTAAGGAGGAGTTGCAGGAAAAATAATGGCAGTCAGTAAAACCCAACTATGGAGACACCTGACAGAGCTGAACTCTGTCCCTCTAAATCACCATTATTCAGTAGGTGAGGAAGGAGTGATCTGCTGTACCACCACCCAGAGTCAAGAGTGAAATCCGAAGTCTAAAAGAAAAGAAAGTATCCTCAGCCTGAGTAGAAAATACTACCCATCTCCTGACTGACATAGCACATGCCAGCCCAGGAATCTGATGCCCTCTGGCATGTTTGTAGTCACATTAAAAGAAGTTTCCGTGTATGGGCTTTATTTCGAATCTTGAAATATGTTCCGAACGACTTGCAGATGCACGTGAATTTACACCATAATTAGTACTAACTGCTTATGGCAGTAGAAGAGCTGACTAATAATTCTGGAAAAATTCCAAATAATCCAGGATTCAAATGAATGCTTCCTTGAGGTTACAGTAATGAGGCATCTTTCAAGTTTTCTTCTTCTGTATCACATAGAAAAAAAAATCCAACATGATGTTCTCCTCACTAAGAGTGAATTCACCCCAATGAAAAGGGCCCATATATACAGCCTTTTAATGTGGGCGTTAAGTGATGCATAGAACTTTGAGTGGACAGTCTCCATTGAAGTGAATTTCACTCATAAAGTGCATGAGAATTGCATGACATTTTGTGATACTGGTGCAACAGTTTTGTAAGTCTGAGTAGTACTCAGCTATGAAATTTGTAGCCACCTTCCTATTTCAGCACAGTTATTGAGAGAATAATTAGCTACTTGTACCTCTCTCAGCTTTTAAATATATAAAGTATATTTAAGTATATTTATAGTATAGAGGTTGCTTTTCAGCCAGCCTCAAGTTGTTTTTGAGTGCCCACTTTTGAGCAAGCAACTGATTGTTCCTGCAAAAGTTGCCAGGCAACTGCATCACGTGTAAATTAGACAGCTGTGTGACCAACTACCCTATCTATGGTCCTTTACTGTAATTTAAAGAAAATTAAAAATATATTTTTACTGAAATCTTTTTATGTAGGATTACAGAGATACAACTATACACTAAGCCATTCATAAAGAAAATGGGCTATGGTGGACTAAAGCACTAGATTCTTGACACTAAGATTTGCCAGTCATAAAGAAAAGATGGGCATAGATTTGCTAGTGATTAGTGAAAAGTACTGGAGTTTCTCTAACATTACCTCCATTCTCAGTGGTAAGTCTTCTGTCTCTGTAATCTCAGAGCTAAATGTATATTCAGATTCATTGCTGCTGTGTGTGGAATCCGTTCTTTTGTGCCCAGGCTTGGGGATGCTCTGAAGTGCAAATAAAATGAGTCAGTACCAGCATTATTGTCACCTGCCCATAACCCAGTGGCTTAGCTTCTAGTGCTCTGAGTTACTCCACAGCAACCATGACTTTGGGAAAAGATTTGAGATTTTGGTTCCTCTGTGCCACCTGAAACCTAGGCACATGAAAGACACTGTAATCAAGACTCTGGGGACAGGTCAACTTTTCCCGCGTTATGAGAATTTGCTTGTGGGAGCAGCAGAAGTGAGCAATAAAGCAGTGTTTTGTGGAAAAGGAAACATGCATTTATAGGGAAGGAAGTGGCAACCCAAGATTCAGAAGAGGCAAGGACCCTCTGAAGTTTTGTATTCCACACTGTAATTTCCTCCTCCTGATACATACACATAAAAAACTTTAAAACTACTGCAAAATTGATAATGGTAAACTTGGTATTAATGAAACTGAGGGGCTAGTAAAATCTGGGCAGTAGCATGTTTGAAAACTCCCATGTAAAAATGAGATCAATAAGCCTATAGCTACAACAAGAATAACAGAAAAGGTTTTAAAACCCCCACATAATTTGAGACAAAAAGTCGTTCACAAGCCCCGAAAAGAAGTTTAAAAATGGGTTAGAGCAGGGGATTTCAACCTTTTTCTTTCTGAGCCCCCACCAACATACTATAAAAACTCCAGGGCCCAGTTAGGGGGCCTCCGGACTCCTGGATTCAGCCACTGGGTGTGTGTGGGGGCCTCAGGGCTTCAGCTGTAGGGGGGGGCTCGGGGCTCTGGACTTCAGCCACTGGGCAGTGGGGTGCTGGGCTCCAGGTGGGGGTGCTCAGGGCTTTTGCCCCGCGGGGCACCAGGGCTCTGGACGGGAGAGGGGAGGAGCTGGGGCTTCAGCCCTGCAAGAGAACCGGAGCTCAGGGCTTTAGATCCAGGGGGAGCGCCAGGGCTTGGGGCTCCCCACAGCTCCACTCCCAGCTTCAGCCCACGGGGGTCGCCGAGGCTCTAGCTCTCAGGGGAGCGCTGGGGCTCAGGGCTCCCCGTGGCTCTGCTCCCAGTTTCAGCCCCATGCTTCAGCCTTGGGGCCCTGCGGCCCCTTGAAACCAGCTCACGGCCCCCAAGGGGCGACGGACCCCTAATTCAGAACTGCTGGGTTAGATGACATGAAGTGTTTTGGTTGAGCAAAAGCAAACAGATTAAGAGCTAATGTTTAAGAGGCAAATTTTGCTCTGGCACAAGGCAAACAATTCCCATGCACAGATCTGGGAACAAAATCTGACCCTATATTATTTCACCAAGTTTTGCTAAAATACTGTCCACAAACAGCACATAATTTTGCTATCTTTTAAACCACTTACCACCATCAGATTCACCTCATCCTTGAGATCCTCATAGCGCTCCTCTAAGCGGCTGAACTCATTCAGCAGATTCTGATACCTTAACCTTTCATCATTCAGATCTAGCTCCAGCTGTTTCGTTTCCTCAACAAGCTTCTTCTCCATGGTCTCTGTCACCAAATAGATGATACCAAAGTGTGAACAAGATGCATCTTGGGAACCTACTTAATCGGTGATGTCCATATTCCATAGCTACAGTATAAAGCGAGACACTACGCACAAGTATGAAAAGAACACAGATACTGTACAAACTGTGCTGTTTAAAAACAAAATAAGCCTGTAATATTTATGCCATTGCAGGAAAGTGCTGCATCAAAGACACAAAGGACTAAAAAAATCATTGGGATAACATTAGAAGGGTTCACTTCTGTAGAGTCTTCTCCATTGTCTGTCACCTAATAATTTGGGGTGGCAGCAGTAAAATTGTTTATCCTAGTCTGCTTTTGTATTGTATTAGTCTAGTATCTGAAGATGGCATCTCCATTTGTACATATCTTCAATGTAAAACGAGGGTAGTCTCGGCTCTTCTGAATCTTTCTCCAGTTATGGTTAGGTACTCACCACAAAGTCACTTACTAAGATGCAACAATACATCTGTTATTTGTTTGAGCGCTATTAGAAAAATATGCGTTGGTCTGTGTGTGGTTTTCTCCAATGCTCTGGATAATTAAGGGACCAAAGTGAATTGTGCAATCTGATGCTGCACAAGAGTTTAGAAAGCAATAGACAACCCTACAAAGATGGTGATGTGTGTGTATGTCTGTGTGTGGTTGCAATAAAGGGAATTAGTTTTCTCCAAATAGAAATGAATTTTTTTTTTTCAGAGATGAGGTTCAGAAGCAATCATCAAAAAGCATATGCTCTGTGCCAGATAACATGCTATACATTTCAGCTCTGTACACAGAGCCCCGCTTACAGAGCCCAGCTGCCTCAACTTGAGTGTGCAAATACCACATTTATGCATTTAAAAAGAATGTAAGTGTGTAATTACCCACTTTGTATGTCAAATATCAGGCTGCACATCCAAGTATGGAATTTGCGTTCACAATTTAGTAGACCACTTTTGATAATTTGACCCCAATGGGTTAATTATATTTATTAACAGTCAGAACTAGTTTACTTTTTTTTTAAATATAGATTTGGGCATTCTTAACACTCAAATTGTCAACAGTTGTATAGCACATATGGTCCTATACTAGAGCTGTAAATTACATTCTAAAGGGAAATGTAGTTAACAAACCACAGCAGATTAACCAGATCTGAGTGCCAATGCCTGGATAGAGAGAGTCACTTTACAAAGGAACAAACAAACCAAAAAAGAAAGTGAAGTGAGCAGAACTGACCTGTCATCTCCTTGGCCTGATCATGGATGCGACGATTCAGCTCCTCCTTTTCCTTTTTCAGTGATGTGTTTTGCTCTTTCAGTTCTGATACCAACTGTAAAACAACAGAATGTTTGGCTCAGGATAAGGATTGCAGTCATGGGAATGTGTTTAATCTAACTCCACTGCATCCTTGTAGCAAGACATCAAAAATTCAATGTTTTTAACTGTCCTTCAGAAAATTAGATAGTGAGCTAAAGTGCCACCTTGACTTCTTAATTCACATCCCAGTCGCACCCTCTCCTGCACGCAGCACACACTGAATTTCTGATCAGATGAGGCCAATGAACATGAGAGCCCAGAGTGTTTAACCCGGGGATGCCATTTAAATTCTATTGCATCTAAAGACACATGGATTAGAAACAAATTCAGTGACTCTGCCCTATGCTGCTTAAGTTTTGGTGGCGGTGCCAGGCCTATAGACATTTACAAGACTGCTCTATGGAAACTCTCTCTTTAGCAAAGGACCCAAAAATTTGAACAAATTTAAATGGGAAATTGTCTGTTTTATTTTATTGTTTTGAGTTTGATAGAGGCTGAGTGCCACACAGATTTCCAAAAACTTGTGGGTGGGGAAGTAACAGATGCATTGCTCTTGGGGGACACGTTCAGCTTGAGGTCAGATCAATTCACTATGTTTCTAGTTTTGAGAAGCGCTCCAATCAGCAAGCTTCCTGTACTATTCCATATGCTGTACTCAACCCGAGAACAACAAAAGAAAAAGGATAATTTTAGTAATTGTGAATCTCTAAGATCTCAGGAACAACAAACCAATGGGGCTTTTAGAGACAGGCTGTTTCTAAAATTTTGGTATTTTGGGGTAGGGACTTCCCACCTGCTCTGTTTCCTGTTTGTATTTGTCTGCCCATTCCTCAATTGTCTTCTTCTCAGACTGTGTTTGGTGCAGCTCCTTTCGAAGCTTGGTGATCTCCTCTTGGAGCATGTTCACACGGTTCGTAGCATTCTTAGCCTCCTCCTCACTCATGCGAAGCCTTTCCACATCACTCCGCAGCTTCTCGTTCTCTGTGTTGTACGTGGTTTCCAGGTTAGTTAGTTTCTCCAGCAGGGATTTGTAGTCTTTGTTCTTTGCAAAACACAATGCAGACATATTAGCATTTAGAACAGCTTTGGGGTTTGTTTTAATCAGAATGTTAGTGCTCGTGAAAGGTGCTGTATTGACAGACTGAATCACTGTATTTATCCACAGAACAATTGATGCTTGGCCAGCAAGATAGCAGCTTCCAAACCTTCATGTCCTAGGTTAAAATCAGACACAGCCCATGCATGCCCATCAACATACTTGTTTTCCGTTCAACACCCTGAAAAAAGTGTATTGTGACAGGGGATGGATCACCAGATGATTATCTGTTGTGTTCATTCCCTCTGGGGCACCTGGCATTGGCCACTGTTGGAAGACAGGACACTGGGCTAGATGGACTTTTTGTCTGACCCAGTATGGCCGTCCTTATGTATGGAAATGGTATGGAATGGTACATTATCTACTGATTCACATCTAGACTGATCCACGCTCCCCTCTCTGGAAAGAGATATTTCTCCTCAACTAAAGAAGAAAACTGATTCCTTTTAAAGAAAAATTCTGCTCCCAATAATCACTGTATTTTTCCAATGATTGCCCATAGTTCAAATATTGAGGCAGATGATGAGAGACTTCTGACCATTCACTCTTGGGGCATTTACCTGCTCATCAACTTTACGCTGCAGCTGCATGATCTTGTTCTCCATCCCAATATTGAGTTTCTTGTACCGTTCCACAGAGCGCGCCTCTATCTTCAGCTTCTTCAGTTCCCTCTTGGCCATCATACGCCTATAGCAGCATTGCAGGTACACAATTGCCTTCAAGCTCCTACGGTAGCGCACACGAGCCAGCCAGCCCCGCACGTGCTTCTGAATAATAATGGCCTTGTGCTCTCGAAGCATCTATGTTTAAAAACAAAAACATTAGATGAAAAAGCCACACACTGTATTTATACAAAATTAACAACATTCTGTGAGGAGAGATACATAGGTAATAACTAGAGACACATCCGTTTGAAAATAGAAACTGCAGGTGAAGGGCAGCAGGAGAGGACCAAGGAATCAGTATAAAAAAATAAAATAAATAAATAAATTAACCTTAGGAGCAAGGGAAGAAGATATGGAAAAAAACGAGAGAAAGCTAAAATGAAGGGAAAGAGATGGAAGGAAGGAACTGGGGACATTTGTATTGATGCGAGATCCCTGTTAATTACAAGAATATAGAATACCTCTGAACAAAACATTAAATCCATCCCTAGAGTTCTAGGGATGACTAGATCTGGCTCTTACTATACCCTTTTATTATGAGGCCACTTAAAGTCATTGGTACATGGACAGATGGGTAAATTCAGCAACTTATTGTTTAGTCTCCCTACATATCTTCCAAATATATACACACATACATGAACCTCCTCTGCATTTCAACAGTTGGTAGTAGCTTATCAAGTTGAATTCCAATTTCCATTCCCCCTCACACACCTTTTTTTTTTCTTTAGTTATTCCTAACTTGTAGAAACTTTTTTTAAATGCTTTTCCATGCTTACTGTATGGCTAAAGATCAAAGAAAATTGATGCAGCTTTTTTGAAGTTCTGCAAACATTAAAGGAATGCTTTCCTCCCCATTTATTCCAATTAGAAATTTTGCACCCTCCTAATTCCAGAACAGCTGATTGTGGAAATTTCAAAACATGGCTTGACAGTCTTTATTAAAATATAAAAACAATTCAGGTTTGAAGAAAAATGGGTCAGAATTGAAGTTATCATTGTTTTAGCTATCAATCTTTCACATTCAAACAAATGTTCTATTTACTTTTTGGACAGTTGAATTAAGGATGCTTTAGTGATTTCCAAGGTCTGGAGATCCTAAATTCCACAGGATGAGAGAGTTTAGCTCTAAAGTGTTAGAACTAAAGGGTTTAGCTTATATAGGGTAACGTGTGTGTCATACATTATGGACCAAAGTGATCTGTAAGGAGAGCTTGTCAATTAGTCACAGGAGGACAACTACACAATCTATAATCCCAGGACTGCAAACAAAGCCTGTTTCTTCCTGCAGCCATCCCAGGATCACAGGCCTTAATAAAATTCCTCCTTCACATCAATGCATCTGTCTTACATTTATCATTTGTTCCATCTGTGATGGGAGGAGTTTATAATAGGTAATTTCTAATTGTGCTTACTAAGGAGAATAATTAACCATAATTGCAGAACCATCCTTAGACAGGTAAGTTTGATTTATGGTGACTTCAGAAGTAATTTGCCATATCTACAACAAGGGAATGTGACAGATTTATAAAATGTTGTTGTACTGTAGAAAAGGAATTGTGTATAAGAGTCACTCAACCAATTTCAGGAATCTAAAATGGTTGACTCATCTATTCTGCATATCCTGGGGAAGGCTCTTAGCATATATGTTGATGCGATGTACCTGTCAGTTTTATGAGGAAGCTCATTACTTTCTGAAGTTAATGTATATTTGAAAAACATCTGTCAGGCTAGTAAAAGACTCAATGTTTTAATATCCTTATATTCAGTGGTAATATAAAACCTGGATTACAGTGCTCAGAATGCTAGCAGAAACAAAACAAATAATAATAATGTACACCATAAAATACATAGGATGTGTAACATGGCTGAGTGCAGGGGGAGAAATATTACTTTTCGGGCATTGCTGGCTGTTGATCGTTCGTTTGCACAACCTTCACATTAATGATATGTTAGACTGATATACTATATATGCGTGGGTGTATGTATGTGTGCACCTACACACAAGCATGTATGCATACTTGTACATTTTTTCTTTAATACAAATCTAAAAATGTCCAGAAATTCCTTCAGTCCAATTCTTTTGATCAATAGAAGACAAGCATCTCAAACACAAGCAATGGCAGGCTTTTATGTTTACATCTACTAACTTGAGAAGAAGTACAACTCTGTAGGACAACTTCTCAGTGAATGATGAGTTGACCTTTGAAAAACTCAATGCAAAACAATCTTTACAGATAGAATTGCTGTGCAAAATGTTGTATAACTCACAAAATCCCAATGTATCAGTAATTCTGCTTCCAGCCCTGTAAACATTTAAAAGCAAAGCCTAATTTCTAAAATGAGGGCAGTTAATTTTTCTTTAAACATAGTCACTTAATGTCATATCATCATAATTAGGACAGAATTCTATCAACCTCCCACCAAACTGAGATCAGCACAAGTAAATGAAAAAAGTAAAAAACAAAAAGAGCCAGGGCTTTAATCTTCTATTCTATCAGACAACAGCTCACTAATATCAAAATCAGCATCCTCAATCATCTTTTAGAGTTTGACAGAATCACAGAAATTAGGGATTAAGAAGAGCTACTAAGTCATCTGGTCCATGTGTGCATGCAATATTAATTTGGACTCATAATGACTGGCTGTCTGATCATTGTATCACATTATTCATATTTTCAAGTATCTTATTTCAGGCCATGCAGTGGCACTGAGTGTGTGCCTTAAGGTCTGCCAATTTGTACACAAACATTTTAGAGCGCATGGAAACACTACAGAATGGGCTAACCCGGAGGTGCTTGGAAACAGCAATAATGAAACACTGGGTCTTCTTACCCTCTGGTATTTGTTCCTTGCTATGTAACCTCGTAAAAGTGACTGAAGCACAATAGTGGCAGCTCGCATGAGATGGTATCTTTTGCGAACCACATACATGCGCTGGAACTTCTGAATTAGGATGGCAGCCCTGGTTCTTCGCAAGAACTTGGCATAGCTGACAAAGAAATATGGTGGAAATGTTATTTACATCTATTATGTATAACCTCTGAATAACATTTTCCCAGTCCTATAACTTTACCCTCTTTCTTAAGAGCTACGTTTTCTACATATTCTACTCTAGATTATTTGCAGTCCTGTCAATGGTACAATGTTTGCTTACTACTGTACTGCACAGCAGCATGGGAAAATTAAAAAATTAACCCTTAAAAGCTCCAGGTAGAGTTTACTCATCCTCAGAAAATTGCACTGGGGAACTGACATGCTCTTCTCAGTTTCTCATCACCTTCCTTCATTCTTTAAAGCAGCTTCCATTAATCAACTTTCCCTAACTCATTCCCCAACAGAAACAGGTCCACCCTTAATTCTTATACCTCCAGCAAGACCACTGAAAAGCATCCCAACTTAATTCCTTTCCTTTTCCCTCCCACCTCACCTCTGTATCTGCCTGCTTCCCTGCTCCAGCTGGTTCCCTCATCACCCACATCAGCCATCTACTCCTAGCTAGCCTGTCTCCCCTTTGTTGCATCCTGGCCTGAGGGATAGGTTTTCCACTACTGGAGAGAGAGGCCACATTAGAAGGGCAGTGGAAAGTTAACAAGGTTTCGTGGCAGGAAAAGGGCAGGTCAGGATTCAGTCTAAGCAAGAGTCCTGCCTCACCCCACCTGCAGACTGACTGCCTCACTCTACTTTTCCTCTACTCTAACAAATAGAGAACATGGACTGCTCTTAGGTGTTATCCAGCTGGGAAATAGCTACATCTTTCTGAAGGTCAAAACAAGCAGGTACTTCTCTTAGAGGAATGCACATTCTAGTCTATTTCCTAGTGATCAGCACAAGGAGACAGAAGGTGCTCTCACAGCTAAATGACCTAGTTAGAGGAAGGTGAACCGATGTAAGAGCAAGTGTCCCCAAGTGTGCTACTTACCATCGTGCCTGGTACCCTCTGACATATCTCTGAATGGTGATGGCTGCTTTCCTCATGCGCAGGTACTTCTTTCGCATCAGCCACCCTCGGATTGTCTTCTGGATGCGGATGCAGGCAACTCGCAGCTTATCTGCTCTTATTTTTTCCAGATAGGCTACTTGACCAGCCCGAAAAAATATTTTTGTCTTACCAAACTGGTACTTATCCTTGTCCTATTTTCAGAGGAAATATCTGATCAGTAACAGAATTAAACAATAGTGGATAAAAAAAGAAGACACAAAGGCTGAATTGAAAGCAGAGTCAGTAAAGAGGTAAAACTACCCATTTAGTATTTCAGCTAAATCTGTACTTACATTAGCTAAGGAAGCTGATTTTTTTTTTTACCTTATTATGTTCTGTGCATAAATTTGTAGAATTAGCAGGGTTAGGGAATTGGAATCTTAAGGAATAATATCTATGTGAGGATTGGTTACAACTTTATTCTATCAGGAAATATTTTCTGAACCAGAAAAAAAGTTTTTATTTTTTTTAAAATGGGTGTAAGAACTGAAGACTGATATTTCCTTTGCCAAATATGGCTTATATTTAAGGCACTTTGTTATCAGTTTTTACTGAAAAATCCCTGGGTTTAACAAAAGCTATTCTTCTTTTTTTAAATCTGATTTTCACCCAAACTTTGGACCACTCAGGTGCATGAAAATACTGATTATGTTAAGAAAATCAATACATTACATTAGTGAGATGTGTATGTTAATAATAAATTAGTCTAAGTGTAAATGTAAGACTGTCTGTTATAGAAGGTAATATAGAAGAAGAGACATGCATACATGTAAGGACAGTTAATGTACAGTTCATGAAATAATCCATAGATTAAAAAAACCACTGCTTTTAATTTTTAATACTCTTACCGTTCTCTATTTGTTACTTTTTTTCTGTCCTCCCATCCCCCAATATTAAACCCAATATTTACCCCAAAAAACTGGAAAGTAAAGTTTTACAACAATTTTCACCCACTTTGTAATAAACACCAATATACACCCAGGAAATTTTAAACAAAATATAAACCAAACATAAAGGGCCTTGTTTCTATTCAGGCTACAAAGATCAGAACAGTTGATATTTCTCATGAAACTGAGGAAAAACACTGGTGAAACTGATGAGACGAGAGGGAAAAAAATCAGTAATTGAAATGAGAATTAAAATAACTATATTTAAATTGATATCTGACCTTCCTCAACAGTCAGTCTTAAGCTATATTACAGCGTACAAATGTTTTAGAAAGGATTTGAAAAGGTGACTTGATATCTATTAGCCTGAGAACCAACCGTACTAGCCCAGGGGAAATATCTGTGCCCCCAAACTTGTGTATGGAATAAAACCAACGAGGCATAACAGACAGAGCACGTCGAGATGATTGCAGCACACCTGGGAGGCAAGGAAGGAAGGTGGGGGGAGGGGCTATGGGTAGTGGTGGAAAAACAGGATAAAATCTTTTGTGTGTACTTTGACTTGAAATTTACACACAAACACACAGGTGAAGCAATAACCTCAACTATTTAATAGGTACTATTGATTGTTATTTGATGTCAGTATGCAAGCACTGGAAATCAAGCTGAAAGCTTCAGCTGCTCTTATTGCTTTGAATGCTTTTAGTAATACACGAGAAAAGGAATCTACTCACATGATATGGATAGCATATGCACACAAGTGCATTTAATGGAATCTTGAAAACATAAACTGCATTCTATGCTTGTTTGATACTGACTCTGCCCCTCAGCAAGCTAAGTGGCTTTCTGATTTTAATTTCCATGGCAAGTCATCTGTGTGCTTTTACTTTTCCTCACCTATACCTTGCACTGAGTCATGATTAACCACCTTCTGGTTGAGAAATAAATGGGATCTTCTTTTGGAGCCTGTCTGTGCTGTGCATTAACCCTTAGTATACTGGCTAATCCCCAGGAACCCCAGTAATTTCTTATGTAACTCCAATGATTTTGTTTGTTTTATATCCAGAAGATTTAAGTAATAGCTAATTCTTAAATGTGAAGGGGAGCCAGCAGCTGGTGTTGTACTGGAAGAGGGGGAGCTGTTCACACTTGGGAGCAGGGATGGGTCAATACTCTTAGTCCTGCCTCTCCTGTGCTGGAAAGTCTCCTTCTCCTGCTGTTTATTTTCACCACTGCTCCCCTAGGCTGGAAACAGGCTACATGCATGAGAGCCGTCAGGGAACTTGCACAGAGCATCTCTGTTTAGGAGGGCCAGGGCAGGGAGACAGCTGAGAGGTGGTAGGGCAGTGGCAGGGTCTCACAGTGCTAAGTGGAATTAAGGAATCATAGAATCATAGGATTGGAAGGGAACTTGAGAGGTCATCTAGTCCAGCTCCAGGCCCTCAGGGCAGGACTAAGTATTATCTAGACCGGGGGCTGGATCCGGCCCGTCAGGACTTTGGATCCAGCCCGCGGGATTGCCACCCCCGTGGTGCTGCGGACCCTGTGCCGCTCCCGGAAGCGGCCGGCACCACATCCCTGCAGCCCATGGGGGAGGGGGTGCAGAGGGCTCTGCACGCTGCCCTTGCCTGTGGGTCTCTCTCCCCGCAGCTCCCATTGGCCAGGAACGGGGAACCACCATTTCCTGCACTCCTCCCTTCACCCCTTCCCTGAGCCCCCTCCCGCACTGTGCACCCCCTCCTGCACCCCAACCCCCATCCCTGAGCCCCCTCATGCACCCTGCACCCCTCCTCTGCCTCAACCCCTTGCCCTGAGCCCCTTCCTGCACACCGCACCCCTCCCACACCCTAACCCCCTGCCCCAGCCCTACATTCATGGCCCTGCATGCAATTTCCCCACCCAGATGTGGCCCTTGGGCCAAAGTTTGCCCACCCCTGATCTAGACCATCCCTGACAGGTGTTTGTCTAACCTGCTCTTAAAAATCTCCAATGATGGAGATTCCCTAGCAATTTATTCCAGTGCTTAACTAACCTGACAGGCAGTTTTTTCTAATGTCCAACCTAAACTGCCCTTGCTGCAATTTAAACCCATTCCTTCTTGTTCTGTCCTCAGAGGTTAAGGTGAACAATTTTTCTCCCTTCTCCTTGTAACAACCTTTTAAGTACTTGAAAACTGTTAAGGAGGTGGAAGGGTTTTTGTTTGGAAGAGGAAAGAGAGACTCTTGCATATTGGAATCCTCAGGATGATTAGACCCCCAAGGTTAATACAACTTGCTGTTAAATTAAGTGAGGCAGTCTCTCCATCCACCAGGGCTTAAAATTGTTGTCTTCCCAGCCCCTGCTAGACTGGGGAATCAACCCCCCATCCCCCACACAACAACACTGGAGTGACTTACACTCACTGAAGCAACATCCCATTTTCATTTGACAATAAAAAAGAATTGTTGATCTTTAATAGCAGCCACAGCCTGATGCTTCTATCTAAAGCTTCAAAAAGAAAGGTGAATGTCACCCAATCCAGCAAACAATAGAACACTCAGAGGGACTATGATTTCCTAAACTAGTATTGGCTGCTGTTTGAAGTCCCTATCAACTAATAATAACGTATGACTATTTTCAAATTTGTAGAGCAGGAGCAACACATTTTTAAAAACTGTCTGTATAATTCAGGATTCCAAGCAATATTTATAGTAGGGCTTTCAAGTGATTAAAAAAATTAATCGCGATTAATCGCACTGTTAAACAATAATAGAATACCATTTATTTAAATATTTTGGATGTTTTCTACATTTTCAAATATACTGATTTCCAGTACAACACAGAATACAAAGTGTATAATGCTCACTTTATATTTATTTTTGATTACAAGTATTGGCACTGTAAAAAAACAGAAGAAATAGTATTTTTCAATTCACCTAATACAAGTACTGTAGTGCAATCTCTTTATTATGAAAGTTGAACTTACAAATGTAGAATTATGTAAAAAAATTGCATTCAAAAATAAAACAATGTAAAATTTTAGAGACTGCAAGTCCACTCAGTCCTACTTCTTGTTCAGCCAATCGCTCAGACAAACAAGGATGGTTACCATTTGCAGGAGATAATGCTGCCTGCTTCTTGTTTACAATGTCACCTGAAAGTGAGAACAGGCATTCACATGGCACTGTTGTAGCTGGCATTGCAAGATATTTACGTGCCAGATGCGCTAAAGATTCATATGTCCCTTCATGCTTCAACCACCAGTCCAGAAGACATGCTTCCATGCTGCTGACAGGTTCTGCTCGATAACAATACAATGCAATGCAGACTGACGCATGTTCATTTTCATTATCTGAGTCATATGCCACCAGCAGAAGGCTGATTTTCTTTTTTGGTGGTTCGGGTTCTGTAGTTTCCGCATCGGAGTGTTGCTCTTTTAAGAATTCCGAACGCATGCTCCACCTCATCCCTCTCAGATTTTGGAAGGCACTTCAGATTCTTAAACCTTGGGTCGAGTGCTGTAGCTATCTTTAGAAATCTCACATTGATACCTTCTTTGCATATTGTCAAATCTGCTGTGAAAGTGTTCTTGAAACGAACAACATGTGCTGGATTATCATCTGAGACTGCTATAACATGAAATATATGGCAGAATGCGGGTAAAACAGAACAGGAGACATACAATTCTCCCCCAAGGAGTTCAGTCACAAACTTAATTAACACTTTTTTTTTTTAAATGAGCATCAGCAGCATGGAAGCATGTCCTCTGGAATGGTGGCCGAAGCATGAAGGGGCGTACGAATGTTTAGCATATCTGGCACGTAAATACCTTGCAATGCCAGCTACAAAAGTGCCATGCAAATGCCTGTTCTCACTTTCTGGTGACATTGCAAATAAGAAGAGGACAGCATTATCTCCTGTAAATGTAAACAAACTTGTTTGTCTTAGCGATTGGCTGAAGAAGAAGTAGGACTGAGTAGACTTGTAGGCTCTGAAGTTTTACATTGTTTTGTTTTTGAATGCAGTTATTTAACAACCAAAAAAGTCTACATTTGTAAGTTGCAATTTCACAGCAAAGAGATTGCACTACAGCACTTATATGAGGTGAATTGAAAAATACTATTTCTTTTGTTTATCATTTTTACAGTGCAAATATTTGTAATCAAAATAACATACACTTTGATTTCAATTACAACACAGAATACAATATATATGAAAATGTAGAAAAACACCCAAAATATGTAATAAATTTCAATTGATATTCTATTGTTTAACAGTGCAATTAAAATAGCGATTAATTTTTTGAGTTAATCGCGTGCATTAGCGGCGATTAATCGACAGCCCTAATTTATAGGTTTTAAAAGCTACAATTCTACTACCAGAATCAGCTTCTCCAACAAATTTTTGCATGTCTGTTTTCTGTCACTAAGGACATCTTTTTGCTTCATCAGGACACGGTAGCGGCTGAAGAACTCTTGATACGTCCACCTGTGCCAAGAAACAGAAAGGGTGTTAGCCGTATAATGGACACCTCTCTCCAGGAAAATGCCTCTTCTGAAAACAATCTGAAAAACGGCAAACCTACCTGGAAGGGAAGCCAGCTGCGCTGATCCGGATAGTTTCCAGAACGCCGCACGCTCTGAGCTGCTGCACTGCCCGCTTTTCATCAAACCTATATAAGAACACAAAACATCTGTCAAAGGGCAGACTTTCCAAGTGACGCTCTAGCCAAGTCTTGTATGAGAACCTAAGTTCAGAAATGGTGACAACATTAGAAATGCAAACTAGTAGATTTCAGTCAAAGAAGTGGTCATGAGTACAGATTCTTTGAGAGCACAAGCTCTGAATCAAATTCAAAATGGAAAATCATGAAATTGTGGGTATCCTTCTCAGACAGCATAAAGGAGAAATATAAAGCTGTCAGCTAATCATTTTCTCTCCATCCAGCCCCAAACATCTGTTATTATTATGTGTATCCCGACGCTTTCAGGACACACTATTCTACTCCTGAGTGATGTGTACTATGTTCTCAGAGACCATTTATGAACCAACGTACGTGAATGGAAACTTGAAGTCATTGGGCTTAATACAACGCACGTAGTGTGGAGTTGTAGCATTAAGGGTTTCCATCAGCAGATGAAGAGAGTTCCGAAACTGTAAAAAAAAAAAAAAGAAGGGAAATCAGAATACGATGAAACTCAGTCTTGTTTGAAATGATCTCAAATGGGGACTTTTTGTATTAGATAAAAGAGGTTGTCTAGAAAAATCCAACATAAAGCCAAATTTCAATAGAGCAGTTTGGTTATGTGCTGCCCCAGCGTATGCATCCATACTATAAATTCTGGTGGTTCTTGGAAGCAATTCATATACACTGCAACACTCGTGTGGAATCAACGGCAATCATATTGCCATACAATACACAAATGCTTGAGTTGCCTATGACAAATGCAACCATACAAGCTGATTTTCAGAGGTGCTGAACTCCCACTGTCTTCAAGTGGAGCTCAGAACCCTTGAAAAATCAGGGTAACCAGGGATCAGATTTTCTCAGGAGCTCAGCATCCAACATGCTAAACTCTTTTGAAAACATGGTCACTTAGTTTGGGAGTTGAGTTCTTTTGAAACTCTGGCCCTGTGTGTTTTATCTGGCCCTAACACTGTATGCGGTCCAAATTGTAAGCTATAAGCAATCCTAATGGTTACTATCAGGGTTAGATGAGCAAGTCCTTTTTAAGAGCAGCCATTCTATATCACTGTGTACAGTAAATTGCTGCTTTCTTACGTGGTTATGCAAGGCTGTGGAGAGCAGGTCTTCATGAAAGTATCATACATGAACATGAGGTACTCCACACACACAAAATTTAAAGCAGTATACATGCTCAAACATAGCCTACTTCTCTTACACGGATTGCATAGTTTTTGCTGAAGATTTCTATCAATATTCTAGCAATCCTGGTATCCCATCCTTAATCAAGGTCCTACTGCCCATTTGTTGGTGATGCCTGATGGAAGCTAAAGATTCCCCAACACTTAAAAAGAAAAAGGTAGTGGGATAAACCGAACCTATTGCTGAGAGCCATGACGGTGACTTTCCATCTGAACCAACACTCCTGAGCAATGATCACAAGAAACCGCTGCATAGTATGAGCCCAATAAGACACTAGAAGGGGAGGGGAAAAGATTATTCTAATAGAAATAGTCACTGGTTCAACTCACCTGATGTCCCACAGTTTTCTTATGTTCCTTGCTTGCTTGGCCTGGTCTGGCCTTGGCGGGTTTTACAGCAGTGCGAGACAGCAGCGTGCGACCTGAAGGGGTTGCTGAGGTGGGACTAAGGGCCTTCTCCTCATCCTGAAACAACTCTGACAGCATCTTAAACTGGTGGAGAAGTAGGAAAAACAAGTTACCTCTCAGAATCAGGGGGTGAGTATTCTAGAAGGGAAGAAGTGCTGTCTAAAGGTCATGCAGGGGCCTGAGAAGGAGGATGCTGGGTTCTTTTTCCTAGCTCTGAGTGGCTGTGTGACTGTGACACAGTGAACAAACCATTTAATCTAGAAATGGGTATAATTGTACTAGTCTGCCTCAGACAGGTTTTAGGCTTAATTGATTATTTATAGTGCCGCTTAAGATCCTCAGATGGAAATAGCAGAGTACTGATGCTGAGGTACAAAGAATGAGTGGTATTATCTTCTATAAGTATCTAAGATGGTTAGAATCCTAGCTCATTTTCTGTAAGCAGTTTTCTTTTCTTTTGGTGGGGGGGGAGATGGGACAGAGTAAGACAGAGCACACACATGCATGAACAACGTGAGGTATGCAAGCGCGTGCTGATTTAATGATAAAATTGTTTGTATTTGTGGGTGTCTTACCGTCAAATTCTGGCTTGACTTGAGTCTTGTGCATAGAGCCAGCAATAGCTTCACAGCTCAGCCAGTCTGTGACATTGTCACAGGTTGGCAATGCCTTTAAGGGTAATTGGGCTCTGGCATTCTCTGTCACATTAGCCATCCCACCCCCCCCTTGCTTCCCCCAGCTGGTCCTGATTAGCTGGGTGATTTCATTAAAAGGGCTGAAAACTCAGTTTGAGTGTGGAACCACAGACAGTGGGCAGGCTTCTGTGGAAGGCCCTGAGTGATGGCCTACAGGAGACTGAGGGGATTCCAGGGAAGCAGTCTGGAAGTGAGGGCTCTATCCCAGAGACAGAGACTGAGAAGTAACCCAGAAGGAACTGGGAACTGAGCCCGGGAGAGGCTGAAGAAGAACCCAAGTGGGGAGAAAGTACGTTTTGCTTGAACTTGTTATCTCGAAGGGGGATTGGACTCAGAGTAACCCAGATGAAGTGGCTGAGCCATGGGAATCTCAGGGACAGACAAAACCTGGGTGAGGGGAAACTGAGGCAGACAGCGCCAGCAGTGCCACACTTGGCCAGCAGGCCTGCCCTGTGACATACTGCTACAGATGTTCCCTCAGAGTGAACATGGTCCTGTATAGGACAGCTTAGATGCTAGAAGAGAACATCAGGAAAGCCTTCCCTGACATCCCAGTGGTGCATCAGGCTGCTCTCTAGCTGAGAATGGAGACTGAATGGCCCAAAAGGCTGCACAGAGTACTCCAGTCTGACAGCTTTCAAATACACCCATCAGCTAGAAAGAGGATGGATTCAGCCGGCTGAAGATCCACTCTATCTGGCAATCAACAAGAATGGTGAAAGAACCTGCACAGACTTCCCAAGCAACCCCTGGGACCCAAGCCTGGTCCCCTTCCCTCCCCCACAGCAACTGTAAATGACAATGACCACAAAATGTAACTCTGCTATAATAGCAACCTGAAACAATACACCTCTGTCCCGATATGACGCTTTCCTCGGGAGCCAAAAAATCTTACCGCATTATAAGTGAAACCGCGTTATATCGAACTTGCTTTGATCCGCCGGAGTGCAGTGCCCCGCCCCCCCGGAGCACCGATTTACTGCGTTATATCCGAATTCGTGTTATATCGGGTCACGTTATATCGGGGTAGAGGTGTAGTAACTATACAGGCAACTACAGATAATGCTTCCAGGTAGATAACATGTAGCACCTCAGAAACATTGCCAGAATAAGGAAACCTGAGCCCTTCTACCTATGAATGAATAATCTTTAAACTAACATGTGTTCTCTTATTCCCAAGAAATAGGAACATTACATTTTCAGTAACATAAAGCAATTAGCTAAGTATGGCCGACAAGGAACGATCACTAGTTGCCTTATCGAATTTGATGAGTGTGCACCATGATCAATGAAACAGTCTGTGCAACTGTACCAGAATGAACTGTACCAGAGTGATGCAGTCTGCTAGCCCAGCATTCATGCCATTTCTATAGCATCATGTGTTTTAAAAAGGATGTAGCTGCCCAGGGCAATATAAAGTTACAATATGGGGGCCAGAAGAAATCTGAAATTCTTGAACTAATAGTAAAGATGAGTATCAACTGCCTAGATCTCTAAAAGACTTATCCAAGCCATTTCATACAAACTGTGTGGGTCTGTATCAGTCAAGTAAGGAAGCCCATTGTGATTTGAATCTTAATAAGCTTCATCCAGATGAGTCTGCTACTGGCACGAACACAAAAAAGAGTGTGTCCTTCCTTGGCTTTTCATTGCTGATGGGCCAGTGTTTCTAAGGAATCAAATATATGAGGCTCATTATCCCCCTCAGGTGAAGATCTGAGTGTAAAAATGTTCAACTTAATTTAAAAGTCACCATTTTCAAAGGCATCTTCTGCTATTGTGTGTGGAAACGGGGGGCAACACATGGCAATTCTTTACCATTGGAACTGAAGGATCAAAGTAAAGATAGTAAATATGAATAGGGCACTACTGAGGGAGTCTTCATTGTTTTTTCCTGGCTCAGCACCTCTCTTGGTTTCACAGGGCACTGGCAGTGCTCAAAGAGAAGAAAAAACACAGATCAAAGGGCAGACAAGTCATGTGGTAGGAAACAAGCAAGCATTTTTCATTTCACATGAATTTTTCGGATGGTCTTACAGACATGCTGCTAACACATGCCAGCAGCAAGCATGAAAACTGAGAACTCTCACATATTACTTGTGTGACACATGCACTGGAATAAAACATGCTCAAATAAGTGTCATGGACCAATTTCGAGAGCAGGCTAACATTTCAAGTTGTGCATTACATAGCCCTTCTAGGGAAGCATGCTTGCCGTGCACTTTGAGTAGACCTGACTTTCTCCCCAACATCATAAATCCCTAGAAGCTGTAATGATGCAGAGGTAAGCAATTATTAGAATTATAAGTGATGCACTAGATTTTAGGTTTACCTTCTGTTGAATATGTATGGCAAACCCAGAAAACAGCAGCAGCAGCAACAACAAAAAGTAGATTAAAATCAGGAATTAAACCAGAAAATGGAAAGCTACTGTGAAGAGTTACTAATAATTAAGGCTGCCTGAAAAACTTCTAAAGAAACATTTTTCCACTGGATAATGGGGTTTCCACCAAAATATAAAGTTTCTGTGGGGAAAAATTGATTTTGGTGGAATTTCCATTGGGAAAAATCAAAACATTTCATTTCAGGTGGGACTGGATCAAGCTGACATTAATCTCTGCATCTGCCTGAGCTGGCACCATGCTTTATGGGAGTTATAGCTCCAGATCCCTCATGCCCCCATTCTTCCCTGTGGGCCATGCTCCCCAGCCAGACTAGATCCCCCATGATGCCCGACAGTCTCTTCCTGTGGCCGAGGCACCGTGGCTGGGCAGCAGTACCCAGAGGGGAGAACAGGGGCATGACAGATCCACAACCACAACTCCCAGGAGGCACCACAGCAGCTCACATGGTCACAGAGGTTAACATCGACCTGAAATGAAACATTGCTGAACAGAAAATGTTTGTAACTTCTCATTCCATAAAAAGTTTAGATATTTCAACTTTGTATGTCAATTCAGGATGTAAACAAATGACACAATACTGGAATTTCCCATGGGATGGCTATCAGCTGCATTAATGATGGTATGGGTATTATTCCAACCTGTCTGGAGCCCTACAGCTAGCAAATTCCCAATAGCTGTCATCAGGAAGTACATTTTGTACTTGCATTTTCATTTCAGAAGAGAAATAGCTAGCATTCCTACCATTAAGAGAAAGTAGCCCTTCTCCAACAGTGAGCATGTCACTCATTATACCTTGGTGTAATATTTTAAAGTTTTTAAATGGGATAGTCCCATGGAGTTTAAAAATAAAGAACACCTTCAGCGATCAGTAAATTCTGCAGCCAATGTAGATTTTCCTGCTTTACAGGGTTCTCGCTTTGATTTGGCTTTGGAACAGGTACATAGGGGCAACCTGACTTTCTTGTAGAGTTGTTTTATGTTTAATTGGTCTGAACAGATAAGAAAATTCTGTTTTCACAAAACATTTAAAAATCAAAAGGTGTGCAGTTTAGAAGGGAACAGTCAAGCCTTCCTACACAATTCTGACCCATCAAGATCCCTTGATATCTTCCAAAAAGCCCAAGCAAATTTACAGTGAAAATATTGAAAATGCATGTAAGGCTAAAAGTAAAAAAATATTCCAACCAGCAAATCAGCAAACATACCAAGCCAATTTCTAATTTGTGGTTTTCAAAACAAATGTTCCAATCCCATTCCATTAAAATCTATGGCTAAATACAGACAGACTTCAATGGGAGTGAGATCATGCCCCATAGCTTTCTAAATACGTACAAATAACTAAATAAATAGAAACTATAGCCAAGTGGACAGGGCCATTTACACTCGGGGGTGGGGGGAGGGGAGGAACAACTTTAGTTTCTAAAGCTTATATAAAAGACGCTGACCTTTAACTTGACATCTCATGGCGGGGGGGGGGGAAAAAATCAATCCTCAACACTAACCTTACTTGATTTTAGGACCTTGATTTGTTCTTCATAAACTGTGTCTTTGTTCTTTTCCAGAAAGCCTTCACACTGATATTCCACCTAAAAACACAAAAATGTGATTTTTCCCCCCCTCAAAAAACTAATTAGGAGTTCATTTTTGCAGGATTCACCAGCTGTAACCTGTGAAATTAAAAAGTTTCCTATTCATGTTGTTTAAAATATCAGTCACTGAATACATGCTTGCATGACAAACACTGCTTGTAAGAAAGCTTACTTTCTAATAAAAAATGGAACTTTAAACCACAAAATATGCATAACTGCTGTAATTGTATTAAACCAGACAAAGTGCACATGTGCAGAGATGCCTTTGCTGAGACAGTGTGATTGAGAATCTGGGCTGAGCCACTTCATCTCCTTGTGCTTCAGTTAACATAGCTGTAAAATTAGATAAAAGCCAGACCTCGCTGAGAAATAGATATCCCATCTCAAGAGATAGGTAAAACTGGTCACACTGCTGAAGCCAGCTGCACAAAGGTCTTCATCTGCATTCAAATAGGCAACTGTCTTCAGCAGTAATTGTAGGTATGTATTCTTCAAAAGACAACAGACTCTATAAATGATAATGATCCTCACTTTTTAATTCATTCCTCTACTGCAGGAAGATTGACTCTCTTGGACTTAAAGAAAGGCCGCAGGCCTCAAACTAAAACTGATCAGAGATGACCTACCTGACCTAAGAATGGGTGAAAAAAAAAAAAACCCAATTGCCCCAAATCCAGAGAATAGAATTTTAAAAATACAGAGATAGTAAGAGATATTTATTTGTCTGTCTCTCTCAAACTAACCCCAGGAAGACAGGGATTGCATCAGCAGCAGTCTAGATGTTCACTGAACAAGAATGACCTCTTTAGTAACTTTGCTATCAATAGGCTGGGATCAAGAGTTGGAGATGAATGCCCTCTTTCAAAAAGGAACTTCACTGGTTTTGTCTCTCCAGGCTACATGTCTCTAGATGGAGCATCTGCCCACAGTCATCTTCTCTTCTCTTCACCCACTTAGTAACACACTATTCCCATAGCTGTAGCAAAAATAAATCCCCAAATTCCTCTACACAAAAACAATGCTCTCCATGCTTATTAGCCATTAAGGAACAAACTCTGCTCAAGTCACTACAATATTTATTAAGGTGAACTTCACCTCTGTGCACAGGGTCCACACAAAAACCATCCACCATTTAAGCCCTATTTTGAATTTCACCCTAATTTTGTAACATTAAAATGAGTCTTCCCAGCTGAAAAAAATACCACTAGAGGGAGGCAAAGAGCTCTATGTATTCCTTCAGGAAACAACCAAGTTTACAAACCTTGCCAGCTAAGGCCCCTATTATGGGTTCTCCTCCCCCCCCCCCCCCCGTTCCAAAATGTTTGTATATGTTAACTTGTACATATATGAAAGACTAAATGGCTTAACATTGGTAATTCCTCAGTCTTGCATGTGCTTATGACTTCCACAGCCTGGGACTTCCCCAACCTGAACTATACTATTCAGTATAGAGTTCAAAGCATATTTTAAACAGCCAGGCTCAATGTATTTTACAGTATGTAAAGAGTTTAATGCATTATCTTTTTGCTCTTTCATCATTTTCAGCAGAGAAATGGCTCATGCATCAAGCATAAGCAGTCTCTTAACTATTTGCTATTATCAAGGACATGTTGGAGAACAGGGGCGAAGCAGAGTCTCACCTTTTCTAGGCATAAATTCAAGTACATGAGACGAACCAAAGTGAGGTCAAGTAAAGACCACAAACCCTGCTGATTCTGACATGATGCTGTTTTCTTTAGCACATGCTGAGCTACCAATATAGCCACATAGCTCCTCTAAGTATTATACATGAAAATTCTTTTGGCTTGTATGAGAGCAAAATCCTCATCCAGTCTTCTGCAATATAGCATCAGTTTAACCCAGAATTTAACTCCTTCACATGCAGACTCAATTTTTTTTTACAAAAATAAATAAATAAATAAAATTTTAAAAAAAAACTTTTTTTTTTTTTTTTTAAATTTTTGTTTTTTTTATTTTTTTTTTTTTTTTAAGGTTTCTAGGCTGCTCAGCAAATTTAAGCATGTGGTAAGAACCGGTCTAGCAAAATACATTTCAATGACCTACTTTGTCTTCCAGGTCATTAAAGCCAGCTGCTCTCACTCACCAGGTGGAAAAAAAGAAAAGCACATGTTGCTCCAGTGTTTTTGACTCTTTGTCAGCACATTGAGATGACAACAGATTGAGGTTGTGTTATGGTGACTGTTCAACTGAGCAGATATTGACATAAACATGCAGTAGAAATACACATAATAGGAGAACTGATGTTGTAAGATTACGTTGTGATATGTCAATAAATTAAGGTGTAATCGTTCAAAGGAAGGATGGTCTGTGGTTAAAGCATGGAACTAGGAACTGGGAGATCTTTTTCGTCTTTCCACCTCTGCCACACACTTGCTCTGTGACCCTGGGCAAGTCACATCTCCTTTCTGCTTTAGTTTCCCATCTGAAAGATGGGGAGAATAATATCTACACGGCAGAAGGGTGTTCTGAGACTGCAAGCATGCTGACATCTTTGGCTATATAAGTACAAAGTGGTTTTCAGGGACATGCTGCATTCAGAGCCGGAAGTTACTGCTAGTAACTGTGGCTTATATTGAACACCCTAAATAATTCTAACTTTGACATAGAAATAATATATATCCGTACACAGAGTTATGTGCAAATATTGCAGAGGGAAAAAAATCCTTACCTTGTCAGCAAAGTGTTGTATGATAAAAGCTTTGTTTGACATACGTGGTTTTTCGAAGAGTGCACATTTCTTCAAATGTGTATTATACAATTTCTGGGCCCAAGAGTCATCTGATCCTTTAGGCATCTGCATAAGAAAATATAAAACACCATTTATACCATCTTGTGGCCCTTTTAGAAGTGAATAATACCAGAAAGATGGTTCTGTGATAATGGGGGACAACACTTTGCATTCTACTTCAAACTTAAGCTCTTTGCTAAACTGAAGATGAAAAGCCAGTAACTAATTATGGGTCTGACTCTACAGTTAACACTGAGCGTGCTGTTTATTACTGCAGGTAGCACCACTGGGACTACTCTCAGCAATGTTTCTGGGAGCAGGCTGTACGCAAGTTACAGACACTCTGAATAGAACAGGGGGAAAGAAAAAAAGAGAAGGTCGAGATAAATACATTCTATTAACAATGTTTCAGTGCAGTACATCTGGAAGCAGAAAGTCATGTATTATACACAAGACAGCTTCTTACTAAAGACAGGCTTACCAGGTCAGAGCATATCCATTATTATTAGTTGTTTGTAATGACTCAGCAAGGAGAAGCCTCAAGTCCCTGTACACACATGTAATAAAAAGATAGTCCCTGCTCCAAACAGTTCATAATCTTAGCATATGATAAAAGACAACAGGTAGAGAACAAAAAGAATGATGGGGGGGGGGTGAATTGGGGAAGGGGGAGGGAAAGATAACACTGAAACAATCACACTGGGTATAAGAAGAAGCAGCCACAGTATACCAACTGCCTAACCACTGTCTAGTGTTTTGTAGGCATCATGGCAGAACTGAGTCTTAAGGAGGGATTTGAAGGAGGCCAGTATAGTGGTTTTGCAGATTTTTATAGGAAGTTCTTTCCATACACAGAGAGGGCATAGGAGAAAGCATGAAGGTGATTAAAGAGAAATGAACTCCTGGGTGATGATGGCTGGCACCACTGGTTCAATAACGTAAGTGTTAAGAAGTGGGGGGAGGGGAAATAAGTCTTGGAGGACCTCAAAGGATTTAAGTAGTTTGTATTTGATGCAGCAGAAAAGGGGGAGCCAATGGAGGAATTCAAAAAGAGGGCTGATGTGGTCAGAGCACTGAGCCAGGGAGATAAGGATTTGAAAGGACTTCAGGTGGAGGGGTGAGGAGGAGAAAGTTGCACTTGTCAAACCTAGAAAGGAGAAGGTCACAATAGTCAAGACACGAGATGATTAGAGCCCGGACAGGAGCTATAGATATGTGGATTTAGAGGAAAGGCCGGAGTATGCTTGTCTTTTGTTCTCCAGTAGTTGCCAAATCTCTTCTTAGCCGCTCCAAATAACTTTAATCAGAGCATCAAAACAATCATTAAGTGTAGTTGACTTTATTCCCATAAGCACTGCATAACGATAACAGAAACAGGAGACCAGTGTATCTTGCAGTATAGAAGTCAAGTAATTTGAACACATACCTTACATTCCTCATCTAGCAGATCCAAGATGCCCAATTTGGCCTCTATGAGATTAATACAAGGCTGATTGTCATAGAAATCAATCAAGGTCCATGGAATTTGTTCCTTCATATATTCCTCCTGTTCCAGCTTAAAGACATGCTATGTGGGGGGGAAAAAAATCTTTAAGAGCAATGCCTGGCTTTTTTCCTAACTCACTCCTAAAAAGAATCTATTATATGGCTATCTGTGAACGTGTGTGTGTGTGTGTGTGTGTGTGTGTGTGTGTGTGTGTGTGTGTGTGTGTGTGTGTGTGTGTGTGAGAGAGAGAGATACAAACACATATATTTGCTTCTTCCACATTGTGCCACATGTTTTTGAAAACAAATAAGATACTCAAATACAAGGACAGCAATTATGACAGGTAAATTAGGGCCCAACAAAATATTCATAATGAAAGCTGAAATTCTTGAAATTTGAGATTTTCAAATTGTCAAGGTTTTATTAAATTTGCCCTGTTTCACACACAAAAAACCCTAATAATTTTTTGCATGTTTTCCACTGAGAGATTATTTTGAGATTCATTTGTTCTCAAATGGTGTTTATGTTCAAACTTTAAATTTTAACAGATTTTTTTGCAGAAAGAAAGATTTTTCATGTGTTTCAGTGTAAGAAACCCATTTTGCAAAACTCTGTGAAAAAGTTAAATTTTGCTGTAGCAAATTCACAATTTTATTTTAGTGATTATTTCATAGAAGATATAATAAAAAAAAAATGACACAGCCATAACAGAATGTGCACAGAAAGCAAAGTGAAAGTTTTAGAACAAAAATCCCAACAGTTAAATATTAAACATGCAAACTTTGGTCATTCTACAGTCATTCTTTTTAAAATAAACAAATCCTTTGTTTGTTTTACTCAGGTGTTTTTTGTTTAATATGGAGGTATACCTATCTCATAGATCTGGAAGGGTCCCTGAAAGGTCATTGAGTCCAGCCCCCTGCCTTCACTAGCAGGACTAATTTTTGCCCCAGATCCCTAAGTGGCCCCCTCAAGGATTGAACTCACAACCTTGGGTTTAGCAGGCCAATGCTCAAACCACCGAACTATCCCTCCCCCCAAACTATATTTCTATCCCAGCTAAATTGTAAATACATATAATTAGAGCTGGGTGACATTTTTTTAGTAAATAGAAATTTTGCCAAAAAATGCATTTTGGGGGCTCCAAAACTATTTGCAAAATCAGGGCAAATTTGACAAATTGTTTCATTTGTGGAAAAAAATGAAAAAACTTCAAAAAACACTTCATTTTGAGCATTTTGAAATTTTGTTTCAACTTTTCATTACAAAATGGCATTACATTTTCACATTTAGCCAAAAGAAAAAATTGCAAATTGCCCAAAAATGTTTCAGTTGATTATAAACAATTTTTTTTAGTTTGTTGATTTCACAAAAAATTTGTTTTGGTTTAAAATCAAACCTCCCCCCTGCACCTTGGATTTTTTGGTTTGGCCCCCAAATTGAAAAATTCATTATTTGCTCAGCTCTTTATATAATTGCTCTGACTCACAAAAAAAACAAATTCTGAATATATTCTAATAAATATCAACCTTTGTGATACTATTTAGGAGACGTAATTTTAGTGTTGATAAAGCCACACAATACCCAATGTAGAAGTCTATCAGTGCACTGTAGATCTCCAGCACACACCAGCACCAGACCATCGGAGTACGCTACATTTTAGGCACTTAACACCGACATTACACGGTAAGATAATTCCTCACTGGAAACTGAATGATATATAGGGTGACCAGACGTCCCGTTTTTAAAGGGACAGTTCCGTATTTAAGTCCCCCTGCAGGTGTCTCGACTTTTTCTTAAAAATGGGCAAATTGTCCTGCATTTTCTGTCTCACCCCATCAGTACTGGTGGGTACTGCTGCTGGCCAGATCCCTGCTCACCAGCCACTCATCCACCAGTGGTGAGTGGGGGGGTTCAGTGGCCAACGATGGGGTTGGGTGTGCAAGGCTGGTGGCAGGGTGAAGATGCAGCGCGTGGGGCTGGCCACTCTCCCTGCTGGTCTGTCAGCGCAGCCCCCCGCTGCATGATGGTTCTTGGCCAGCAGGGCCCCGCCCCCCATCCCGTTATGTGTCACCTCTGCTGCCCACTCATCGGCCCTTTATGTGCTCCCCTTCTCACTGTCCTCTCCCTGCTTTGCCCTTTTGCCCCTCCCCCTGCCCCGACACCCTGATCCTCCATATACTCCCCGGCGGAGCACATCCCCCTCCTAGCACTGTGCGGAGAACCAGCCCCTGGTCGGAGCCCTCAGCTCACCAACAGCCTGGCTGGCAGGCTCCTTCCTTCCCCCACTGCCTCTGGCTGGGCTGGTGCCCCGGGAAAGCCCAAGACCCTGTGGCCCCGCATGTGCCAAAGACCCGCACGTGCCAAAGGCCGGCACAGCGCTGGCATGGGGAAGCCTCTCCGCCCCTCAGCTAAGCTCTGGAAAGGTGGGGGGGAAGCGATTTCCAGCCTTTTCTTGCTCCGACCCCTGCAGGCTCCACAGCAGCCCCCCAGGCAGGGACTTAGCACCCTCTTCACCCACCCCACCCCCCTGCCCTGGGTCCTGCCCCCAGGGAGTGTGGGGCTGTTCTGTCCCCTAGGCACCCACCCTGCTGAGCCACCTCTCTGGTCCAGTTTGCTGAAGCCCCTGCAGTCAGGTTCCCTGAGCCCTGGTGCACAATGCATCCTCAGGGCTTAACCCCTTCCTGCCCATGCTGTAGCCAGGGAACAGGAGGCAGCTGAGTTATGTCGCTGGCCAGCAGCATCCTGGAGGTGTTAGCTGCCTTTCGACATTGTATGGGCAGGAAGGGACAAGCTGCTTCCAGCCACAGGGGAGCAGGGGGCCGGGGGGTGGGAAAGGGAAAGAGATGAGCTCTGCAAAGATATGGGCCAGGTCATTCCCCCATCCCGACTTGTGGCTGGAAGCAGCTCCCGTCAAAGGCTGCTGCTGGCCACATTCTGGTGTGAACCCTAACAGAAATGGGGGCTGGGGGGAAGCAATGTGACGCTCCATGCCCTCCCGTCCATGTGTTGCCTCTGGAAGATGTGGCACCAGGTACCAGGAGAGACTGGTCTGTTGATCTTTCCTGAGTACTGATTCACAGTACCATAAAAGATGACAAACTGCGGGTGCACAACAGCACAAAATTGTGGCAGATTGCTAAATGCAAAACCCCTTTTATTGAAGAAGTAGTCAGGTTGAATTTGAGCCATGTTCTCACCTCTAGATATACAGTTAAGTTCTGCATTTGCTAAGATACAGATATATCCAGGCAACCTATTTGTAAACATTTGGTAGTGTCACATTTTTTTTTTTAAACTTTAATGTCATTAGGTTTCCTGATTCCATAAAGTTCTGTTTTGTTACACAACTGCACAGCAGTCACCAATTCCACTTTCCACAACTTCCCTACAGCCCCTGGGGCAGAGGACATACTAGGAAAGGGAGTAAGTAGCCAAACTGTGATGTACTGTAGTATCCCCAGCTGACTATAGTCTCTAGAGGACCATAATCAGCCAGCCAGTTTTGAACAACCTCCAGGATCTGTGATGGCCCCCCATTTGTGCTGCATCCAATCCAAACTGGATGCAGCAGAAACTCTGGCCCTCTGGGTGCAGGGAACAAACACTGGTTTGGTAACCTCTTGGAGCTCATTATGGGGCACAGCAGCAGCCACAGAAAAGACCATCCATTCTCTCAGCCATAATGTGGGTGCAGGGTTTGCAGCTGCCATGTAAGGAAGGAAATAGAACAAGGGTGAAAGTAGTCTGTGTCACAAAAATGACTCCTTGGGATCCCCCTCAGTGACAGAATCTTTGCTATAAGGATGAGAAACCTTTGAAATACCTTAAAAGCAGGGCATAGAAGAAAACCTTGGGAAGCTGTGACCCTCTGTAGCAACAGCATCAGCAACACTACAATAATATTGTGGACATTTTGGAGTGGGAATATTCAACTTCATTTCTGATAGCTAGTTTACTTCCAAGTGCTCAGTAATTTGTGTAGCTGGGACATGTACTCATGGTGTAGGATCCAGCTTCTCAGAACACAAGCACTGTTGAGGTACATTTGCATATATATTTTAAAGCTATTCTAACACTCTAATGGAATCCAGCAATGCTGCTGACACTTAGGACCTGGCATAAATCACTCGGTTCATCTTTATCCAGATAAAATACATAATTACAAACTATAACTCTGGCTAAGGATAGCAGGGTTGTTATCTGTTAAAATTGAGTGCTCTCTGAAGAAGGAAGAATAAAGAAGCGCCTCTCACCCTGCTGACTCTAATCAATGTTAGGAAGTGGCTGTACTTTTAAAAATCATGCCAATGTACACCATAAACCAAGAAAATTAAAGTGGCAGATTTCCAGAAGTGAATGTCTTCTCGATGCAACCACTGAAGAGGTCTGCATTGAAAGATATGCAGATATGACTGGCTCCAAACTCACCTGCATAGTATTCTTATTGACAAGCAGTCTCGGCATCTTAATTGCAAAGCAAGGCTTCTGTTGCCTTAAAACTATATTACTATGATAAGAATTCAAAATATGCCCAGAGTAGCTGTTATTTATTCAGTGTTTCCCAACCGGTATGCCATCAGGCCCGAACAGGTGTGCCGCAGAATTTTGTGAAAAACTACATGTGAGAACAAAAAAACCCTTCCCTTGTATTTTAATTAGTGTCGGAGCTGGATTGCATTCAGTACTTTTCTTCTCTGGGATGAGGCCCCTTTCAAATATTATGCATGCATCACATTCCATTCCCCAAAGCGAGATTAAGATAACAAATTTGAATCCTGCAGAGTGGGGGAGGGGGGGAAAAGAAGGAGGGAAGCCACCTTCTGGTTGGCTGTCTGTCTCATTGCCCCACCTCCTCCAGGGGCAGAGCAACCAATCAGAGCTCAATCTCCCTCTTCTTCCCCTCCCCTTCCAGTGAGCAATAGGTTGGCTCCTCTGCCACTCCCCCTTCCTCCTGAATCTGCCAGCTGGGGCTTGGGGGATGGTGGGGGGAAGAGCCCCTGGAGCTTCCCCCTCCAGCCTGGAACATGAGCGAGAACCCCACTGCAGCCCCCCCAGGTTGGGAGAGGGACGAACCCCAGGAGAAGCAGAGGTGAGGCGGGGGGATTGAACTGGGGGATGGTGGGGGCTGGGTGTGAGGTGGGGAAGCTGGGGATGCTGAAATGGTGGGATGGGGAACAGGAGGGGGGGCAGGGCAGAATTGGTGTGAGGTGGGGCCTGGGGTGGGGTGGGGGAGCTGGGGAGGCAGAACTGGTAGGGTCTGGGTGGCGATGGGGCAGAACTGGGGTCTTGTTGGCGTAAAATGTGTGAGTCGACTGAAAATACTTGTCACCATCTGTACAATACAGTTAATGATGTTAGACTCTAACATCATTAACTACACTGTACAGAGGGTGAATAATAAAGGGTGGTAAACAGCTTAAACCGAGGCAATAAGAGGGCGAGTTCATTTGGAGACAATATGTTGGTGTGCCTCAAAATAATTAAAGATATCAAGGTGTGCCACGGCAGAGAAAAGGTTGGGAATCACCGCTCTTGATTCTCCTCCCATTCCACTCTAAGCTCCACATCTAAGACAGCTGGTTGTTATTTTGAAGGAATTCATCTCAGACACTGGGGATCTATTTAGCAGAACAGATGCTGGAGAAGGGAAGTGGAGCCAATAATTTCCTACTTACCATATTGAACTGTTGCTGCAGTTTTTCATTGGCATAGTTTATACAAAACTGTTCAAAGCTGTTTATCTCAAATGTCTCAAACCTGCAAAACCAAGACATTCAAAGTTACTACCACAATGTAAAGATGTAATAAATGATTCTGTAATCTTAAATCATCTCTCTAATCATATTTACACAGAACGATCAGTGGAATTCAGAGGGTTATACTGAGTATCAACATGACATAACAGAGTGACAGGACAAATGGGGCAATGACATCCCAGTGCCAGGAGCAATTCTGAGACACTTTCTCCTTGCTAAAGGAGTGTCAATGTGGTGATGCTCATGGTTTCTGGAGAGCATGTTAGCCATCCTTGCTTCCATAGTGCCCAATCTACAGAGCAGGCTTGGAAGAGAATGTACGTTCAACTCTCTGGGACAGAGGGAAAAGTGCTACAGCAGCTGCTGCTGCTGCAAAAAAAAAAATAAATAAATAAAAACCAAGAAAAAAAAAAAGATGAAAAGAAAGCCCAGAAAGGAGATGAGCAACAGTGCAAACTCAGAGGCATGCAACGGGGAAGGACCAGATGCCATTTATTAAACCATCAGCAGAAAAGTGGAAGATATCTGAAGCAGAATGGAATATGGCAGTTTAACCTTAACTACATACTGTTGGTTTTAAAAACAAACTTTAACCCAAATATTTGGACTAAACTGATCAATATGAAAGTCTAAGAACAAGCATATCTGTATATTGTAATTTTTCCCCATTGTGAAACATTAATGAACTACCAATGGCAAACTTGCTAAAGTCCAAGATCCAACTAAGAATGCCTAACCTGAAAGCCAGGACACAGGTCCTAGGCGGTGTGTCAAAACCACCACGAATAACTCATTACTGCCTTTAATCAGAGTAACTGGTCACCATTTTTTTCATGGTTTTCACCGCACACCAATACATGTGCTAAAGAATTTGTCAGCAACTCAGAGGCTACCCTCTTGCAGTAAGATACTTCTGCCCCACACACCTGGTATCTCTGACACAGAATACTCACCCGTAAATGTCCAAAACGCCAATGAAAGAATGCTGCTTTACAGTAGAATGCAGAGCTTTGTTCACATGATCAACAATCCAGTTAAAGAGTTTAGCGTAGATATGTTTGGCAAGAGCATCTCTGGCATTGATGGCCTGCAGTTTGGAAATTGGTTTGATGTAGGTCTCAGAGGCAGTAGCAAGCTTCCTATGGCAAAGCCAGTGGGACATCTCTTGGTACTCCACACCCATGAGGTCACAGAAGATGGTGAGGGGTTCATGTTTGTGCTAAAATAAAAATAATCTCCTTAGGTAATATTAACAATATCACACATTTAATGTCAGTGGATTTTTCTGTTATGAAGTTATCAAATATTGAGCTGCAACAATTATGTTTTCACGCCTCTTTCTTTCTCTATATCTATTTACCGACTTGTGTCTAGCACTCAGATACTTTAGTAAATTAGCATAATCATGGAAATAGCAACATAATTTCCTTTAAGTGTGTGTTTGTGGGTTGATCCCCATGCAGAGTATTCACAACCCAAACAAAGAAATGAGCTACAAAAGTTTTCATGTGGTGACTAAGTTTTGGAGTCATTATCTACTGAGCTAAAACAATCAAACTCTGATTTGACTTAGAAACCAGAGAAGCTTTACAGCACATATGTATTTACCCTAGTTGACAGTATTTGTATTTAGTATCTGAGAGTGCATGCTTCAGTTGCATAAACTGGATGAAATCAAAAAGAGGAGCGGTGTGTGGGTGGGTGTATTTAGGAGGGAAAAGTATAAAATATAGGAGCGCTAATCTGGGCAACATTCTCATACACTCATATATAACCATGCTAGTGAGAGATCAACGAAGTTCTATTGAAGTCAAAAGTCAAGTATTAACAGGGGGCAAAAAAGGAAGGGCTTTAGAAACCTGGTCTCAGATATAAACATCAAAAAAGGTGTTTCCCCATTGAATTCTGGGGAGAAATATAAAACAGTCAAGCATGTTAAAAGATGTAATTTAACTCTCACATTGAACTGTATGCCTGAGATAGTCAGATTTTCTGCCATAGGTATAAAACACTGAATTGATCACCCATACTTCTACATGACAGCAACTCAGTCAAGTGCTGCTCATGAGCTGGGGAGCCCCACACCTAATCATTACCAAGTAAATCGCCACCTTATATCTCAACTGATAGCACAGATCTTTCCCATTAATAAAAAATTTCCCTAGCCCCACCACTTTCAGCTTCACTGAATACACCCGTGTAGCTCAGTAGTCAGCTGACAAGAAGCAGGAACAAAGGGATTTGAACAGGACCAAAGGGAGTTCTTCTCCTACAGACAACTGGGCACTGAAGGCCAATAACATAATGATCTCTCCGTTTTATTTTCTGACCTTCAGCCCCTGCCCCTTCCTTCTTTTTGAAGTGTTTGGGGCACACTATACTTTACAGCATCGAATTCCAGTTAACTAAGGATGTCTTTCCGTTTACCGATAATGACTAACTGTATTGGAACAACAAGATGACAAACAAACAACAAAATAATCAAGCTATAACAACGGGAAGGTCCTTGTTTACAAGCTAGACCCAGACTAATTATGTCCTTAATTCATCTACATCCAAAACCGCGCACCCGCACTTGTTTCCAACTGGCACGTCTTCCTGAAATCGCCAACATAAAACATGTCAAGACTGAAAGGAGGAGTAATCGGAGTCACTACAGGTCTTAAAGCTCCCTATATCATAGTGACAATAGAGTCTCTTACCCAACAAAGTCACTCAGTACCTTCATAATACACGTGCTCCTTTGCTGCTTATTTCAAGGTTTAAAGGTTCAACATACAATTTAGTTGCAATACAGCAACGGCCATCATAGTAAGTTTCAGTTCTGCCAATGTGAAGATGATTTTGGACATGCTTTCAAGCAGCTCAATTTCGTCACTGGTGCTGCTGCACATTCTTTAGAGACTTAAAATAGTGTCAAGAATCTGAGAAATACTGCACGCATCCTGACATTAACAAAAGGGTAAATATTCATGTTCTGCTTTGACATAATGGGCCAAATTCTAGGCAGAGATCTCTAATGACATTAGCAGAAGTGTCATGCCACTGACCATAGAAGGGGTAGCATGTGTCCCTCTTTAGTTTCCTACCTAGAATCACTACTTGATGCATTGTTTCCAAGAAGAGCCCGTTTAAGACACACTCAATGGGGTCACCCTCATTGATGGTTGCAGTGAAACTGTACCAGTTAGATTCAGAATGTGGTGTCAGAGCAAGAAGACTCCTCAGCTGTGCTCTGACACAGAACTTGCTGTCATACATCCCAGACTACTAGCATGGGCACTTGAGCACTGACAGCAAACACAAATGAGAAAGGGGGAAACTGGAATTGCTGCAGCTTGGAGAGCAGTGGAAGGAAAATAAACGCTGCCTGGCTCATTAATAAAAATTCAGGGCCTGATGAGAAAAAAAGCTTCTATCATTTGTGAGCCCAAGGAAAACACACACAAGAGCAAGACAAATCAGTCCCTTTTGTTTCCCACTGCCAGGACACACGTCACCTGCAGGAAGCCTTTGCGGGAGAGAGATAAATGGGATTGTCCTCAATGAGCAGAGAAAGGAGCTACACTCAGCATACACCATATAGACTCTTCGCTGCTTGCTTCTTAAATGGTACGAGAGGAAAAGTTCCTGCAGCAATGACCAGCAAAACCCCGGAGCAGTTAACTTGCTGAACCTTCTTTTCCCTCTGTATAGTATGGTCACCTCCGGACAGCCCAGTAAGATGGCGTATTTTGTGAAATGTTCGCTTTGTGGATATTTGGATCAGTTTGGCATTTAGCATCAAACTAGAGACAGAATTCCAGCAAAAATCCTAGACAAATCACAGGACCATTTGGTGTGGGAGTACAGACACTCACCCACCCTCTCAGGACTTCTAAGCTAGCATGTCTGGAAGAGTTCCCTAGAAAAGCCCATTTGAGAATTCAGCAGGGAGTCAAGAGAGCCTCAGAAATAACATGGAGAGCCTCTGACAGGGGTCTAGAAAGGGAAGAGCAGAATCCATCTGTGAAGAGCAACAGGAAAAGTCATACCAATCTAGAAATAAAAAGAAGTTGCTTGTATTTTTGTACTGGCCCTACTTTGCATGGGGGCCTCTGCAAACAAATAAGACATCCAACCAAAAAATACAGAAGTGTCACAATAGAGTGTAACTATATCCTTTAAACACATTTACAACTTACGGGGATCGTGCAGCTGTCAGCATCCCGAGAGGTAAACCCCACGTTGCCCAGGTGAAGGATCCCAGCGAGGATTCGAAAGATTCCCATTTGGTGGGAATCATTAATCCCTGAAAGAAGATGAATAAAATGCCCTGAGTGCAGAGTGAAAGAAAGACCAAAGAGAGACCCTGCTGCTGAAAAGAAGGGTCCAATATTTGTAAACAGGAATGATAAAATCTGCTGGAATTTTGTGGGAAATTGCCACCACCTCCCATCTCTCAGTTGTGTGAGGAGTTCTGCAGAGAAAATACTACTAGAAAATTATACTTAGCCCTCCTATTACTATGTGTTACCATACGACATTATAATAAGATGCAAGGATGATTCACTTTAACAAACTACTAAATATTTTAATGAACTGCCTGTATTGCTGCTTAGACAAAGTTTTACAAAACCCACAAAAATCTTATATACTGCACCACGGGGAATCCAGCATTTATTATTACTTAAATAATGTTTCCTCTTCCCTGCACTAAAAATTTGATGATACAATACCTTCATTATACTTTAAAAGTATCTGAATCCCAAAGGTTATCAAAGTCTCTCTATTTTAAATACAATATAGAAAGAATGAACTAAAACAGACTATATAAGAACAGCTATGATTCCGAAGTCTGAACTAGACCCATGCTTCTCCAGCATAATAGTAGAATTACCTAGCAAACTGCAGGCCTGTCTGGTGTGTACCATTTCCTTAGCATCATCAATGCCGTCAATCACTGGACTACCTCCTTGCTTCGTATAGTGAAAGTAATTTGCATTCCCTACAAAAAAGAACAACAATTTTTACACACACTAAAGTAGAAACCATACAACTGCAAACAACTCTGTGTTAAGCTGTGTAACAGGTAAAGCTCACTTGAGCTTCTAAACCTGAATGGCAGAACCCATGGTTTGAAATACATTTCAGTTTATTGGAATCATTGACTCCTCTGGGCCATCTGCATTAGTGGACTGCTCTCTTTCAGGTTTAACGCTGCATCTAAATGTTTCTAAAGCCATTTGCTCCTGCAATAGGTTTGCTGTGTCCATACTAATCAGCATAGTCTCTGGAAGCTAGTACTGCAGAGCCTGTTGTATTGATCTCAAGATCCAAAAAAGTTAAAGGTGTTATAAACCCTTTTACTGTCCCATCAATTGTCACAACAGTCCATACACAGCATGTCTTCATGTGCATGGAAACAATTATCCTGCAAGTCTCAGCCACCCACCCAAGATTAGGTGCACAGTTGACAGTAGGGTTCTAATGTCATGGTGCACATATATTTTAAAATTGATTGTGCATGTAGTTTTTCCATTGCCATGCTTTCTAGTCTCAATCATAGAATATCCAGGTTGGAAGGGACCTCAGGAGGTCATCTAGTCCAACCCCCTGCTCAAAGCAGGACCAATCCCCAGACAGATTTTTGCCCCAGATCCCTAAATGGCCCCCTCAAGGATTGAATTCATAACCCTGGATTTAGCAGGCCAACGCTCAAACCACTGAGCTATCCCTCCCCCCTCAATGGTATAGTCCAGAGTATGTTTATAGTTGGTTCTGTCTAAGGACTGATGCATTCACACTATGCTAAGCCCTCCAATTGATTATGGGCGTAACACCTGGCATCCACTACAGTGAGCGCTGCAACTTCTTGAGGTGATTGTGCTCAAGGATGCTGTATGTGTAGTTTTGTTAAAGATTTTAGTGTATTTGAAAATATTAAAGACAATAACAGTTTCCTTCTTTCTCCTGTTTTTCCCTTGTCATCTAGTAAGGGCTGGGAAAGGGGTCCTCTGAATCACTTCTTTAGCCAGAACAAGATCAGTTCCCTCCTGCAACATTTATGGCAGTTGTCCCCTCAGGGGCTGTTCAGTGCCCCACAAGGGGAGGAGGAAAGGGGAGAAAATAAAATAGCTTTACAACATTAATGGTTATCGAATAGGTTTCTAATGCTATAAAACTAATTTTTAAGAACACACAAAAACAAACAAAACTTCTATTGCTTGATTTTATACATTCTGCTTTTATTTGTGAGGGATACCAGGAAATCAGCTGAGCAGAAATCACCCACCTCTCCATCCCAACCACCACTTATCTGCTCTTGGACCTGCCAGCTTGCTGGTGGTGGGAAATCAGAGTACACTGGGGGGGGGGGGGGGGGGGGGGGGGGAAGGGAATACATTGTAGGATGAAGCAGTGGGGCTGGCTATCCCATAGCAGCTACAGTGCCTGTGCTTTCCATCTACAGCAGCACTGAAATGATTTGAAATCAACTGATGTAGTGAAGGCATTCCCAAGACTTGCTCAGAGCTGAGCCAATCACATTTTTATTTATTTATTTATTTTTATTTTATTTATTGGTTATTAGTTAACACTTATGAAACACTAAAAGTAAATAAGTGTGGACACAAAGTTTTGTACAAACTTTCCAGACACTTGTGCTGATACTGAAAACTTCAAAAAAATCCTCTGGAGAGATGGAGCTACAGAAAAAGACCTATTAGGTTACCTAGCCCATCCCTAGGCCAAGACAGGAATATTACAGTTATGGTTCTGTGTCTTGACTAGGTCACTTTTAAATGACTCAAGAGATAGGAGGTCCACCACTGCCCCTGAGAAAATATTCTACGCTCTGGTGCATATCTATGTACTGTACTGATGCCTGCCATTAGTGTGTATTAGCTTACATGGACTATGTAAATCTGCAAGTTTGCTTTTTTAGAAATAAAATATCTATTTACTTATTTTTTTTAGCTGTAAGCAGCTCAGGGTTAATAAGAATTTAAAAGACAGTGATTCTTGTTTTAGACCCATCACTCACAGAGCTTAGAGATAATACTTTGTACATACTGATTGCACAGTACACTGGATATGAATTTCATACCTAATCGCAGTGTTTTAAACTCAGGTAATGCTGCAGAGGCACAGAGCTGGTAGAAAATGTGATAATTTCTCTCCTCTTCTGCCTTTAAGAAAAAAAAAAAAGAAGCAATTACATTTCAGAATTTACAACTGACACAAATATCTATCAGAAGGACAGAACTTCTAGATTTAATATATTCTATGGCAATTAGGAACTCAGAGAAAGCCACAACGAAAATGAAAAAGTAAATCAACCTCTATCATTTCTTTCTTGGTTAATCTACTTCCAACAGCAATACGTATGCAGAAAAATTAAAGCTGCAGGATTTCACTTTTTAGGTTTGTGACTACTATTGAAACACAGACATACCATTTTGTGGGTGTGCAAAGTGGTCATACTTAATAACTTTACAACTGCATAAGATAACTAAATACCATTGCCTCACAGTTTGCAGTATTCTAATGAAAGGAACACAGAGAAAGTTATTTGCACTCATGATGCCCAAATTTTTAGTGCCAATACCACCATTATAAACTAAGATACTCTTATGTTTAGAACTTCAAGAAAGACTCCTCTTGGGCTGAACCATAGCATAACAGGTCTCTATTCATCCATTACTTACAACATGCTACAGTGTTCTACAATAATAACCCAAACAATGCAGTGGCACTATTGTAAGCTGTTATTTATTATTTCTGTTACAGTAGTGCTAAAGAATCCCAATCAAGGATCAAGGCCCCATTGGATTAGATGGAAATGTAACAAAGATAACAGTTCTGTCCCCAGGATCTCTCAGTCTGCATGACAGACAGGACACAAGAGGTGGACAAAAACAGGCAAAGGGGCTAGGTATGGGTTAGGAGGATGAGGTAATAAAGCAAACAACTTCAGCAGAAAAACAGAAGTCACAGATTGTCATAATCAACGCCAGATGGGGGTGATTTGTAGGTATCATGACAGAGGTCAGTTTTAAAGGAGGGATTTAAAAGAGGATAAGATGGCAGCTTTATGAATATCAACAGAGATTTTCCCCATGCGTGCGCAGTTTCTGTTGTGTTCTGAGACACAACTGTAAAATATTGTAGTACACGTACTCTGATGTCCACTATTATGTTGAAGATGTTTAACCCTTAGATATACAGTATATTCTTATTGCCATGTATACAGATTTACAAGCATAATTGATTAATATGCCTAAAAGCTATCTCTCGCTGCTTTCTTGGTGTTATATTACAGCTGCAAGACACTGGTGGCTTCTTAGAAATGAGAGATGCCTCACACTAGCTGGCAGTAGGATTTTTTATATAATCACATAAACACACACAATAAGAGGATTGTATTACCTGAAATACCACTCTTGATTTTTCTAAGAGGTAAGTTCTCATGTTAGCACCAATGATTCGGTACCTCTTATCGAAACCAATTTCAATGTACTTCCCAAAACGACTACTGTTGTCATTCCTTGTGGTTTTGGCATTTCCGATGGACTAAGGGAAAAACACATACAGATTTAATAGCTCATGGAAATTCTCTTACCTGTCTGTTCTCCTACATGGTTCACAACTGTGTTTCCAAAATTAGCAAGAACTTAATAGTGAATTCTTCTGTCCTAGTAGGGAAGCAACTTCCTAGGTTATAGCAAACTTACAGCAGGGTTCTTCCATTAACACCAATATATGGAGTTGGCCAACACAGTAATGCTTTCACCTTCACAGCTGGATTTTCCAACTCAAAAAATAATCATGATAACCCTCCAAGGATTTGGAATTTTTCTAGTTGAATAAAACTTCTTAGAAAATGTGCATTGTCACAAAGATAGCCTTTTACAGGGCTTATGGAGACCATAAGTGATAATAAATATGCATAGCACCTCTAACTTTGGCCATCACTGCAGTTCTGCCTAAAATAATCCTATGACCCAGTCAACAACCTATATTTTGCATAGTTAATAATATATAATAAATAATCTATAATCAGTTACATTTCCAAAAAATTAGTGCCCCAGACATGCTGTTACAGCATATTTACTTTGTGGGTGAATTTCATGTACTAGGACTAGTTAGCACTCTGTGAGAACAAACCACAGGAATAGGTTCCACATTCCAGAATATAATATATGCAATACTCCTAAGGATCAAAGAAAGGTTTAATAAAAAGTATACACTATTTCTTGGATAGTACAGTACATTTTATGAATCTTTATAAATTTCACTCTTCAAAAGACTGCTACTTCTTGGACTATTTGTGCAAAAGAGAATTATGTGAAGTAGGTTTGTAAGATCAGACCTCTGGTATATAAAGCTGTATTTCTTCACTGGGGTTATCTTCAGAAAATGCCTGAGCTCGCTTTAAAGAGCCATTTTTAGAGAGAGAGAGAGAGAGAGAGAGAGAGTGTGTGTGTGTGTAAGTAAAATCATCTCAGCTGACAGGTGATCTTTTTTTCAAAAAGTTATGAGCATGTGGAAAACTAGGTTTATAAGAAACTGATTTTCAACCTTAACTACAGCAGTCACTCCTAGTCAAGTGCTATTATACACACAGAGAGATAATATTGCATAGATCAACAGTCAGATCAGACAAGCTGGGCAGTTTTAATTCTTCAGAAAGAAGCGTCTCAAGCATAAAGACAAACAGAGTAATACCATCTGGCATCTACACTAAACCATGATATAATGGAAGCACCTCCACATGCATTTTCATGTGTGTGTTACACTGTTAAGAAATTTTCAAATAGTTATGATGGAGTAATAGATAATTTCCAAGATGTATTGTGATTCTGTTTTGTGGTGATGGGGGTAAGTCTGATTACTAAGAGAGACAAGAGGTAATAGCAATAGTTATTTTTCAAAGAAAATAATCATCTGTCATGATCTAAGTTAAAACCACTGGGCTCTTTTTATGAGGAGAGGATTAAGGTAGGTTCTTTAGGAAGTGAAACCAATAGTCAGCGGGAATCAGCAGTGAATCAGTTAACAGCTAGTGGCATGACACATAGCTGATTGTGGCTTGTTGGCACGTATTGCTAGTTCAGGACCTGAGGTAGGGGAGGTATAGCTGGTCCATGGTTGCCCATCTCAAAACCTCAAGTCATATCACAATATAACCCGAAGAGAGAAGATGGAAGGATGGGCACAAGGGCAGTGTTTTGCAGTTGTGTGACTCCATCTCAGCCAGCATGTACAGGAGGCCTAAAGTTATTGATGGTTGTGGGTCCAGAATATTCCATCTCTGATTTTTATTACAACCTTATTGCTTTTACAGTTAACACCTTCACTGCTGTAAGACAAGAAGGGAATTCTTAATAGAATGTAAATGGAATGTTGAGATGTATAATTCAGATTATGCTGAGACAGAAGCAAGCACTTTCTTCTTTCCCTTAGGAACCAAGTACATTACTCATTATGCAGCAGTTAACCGTTTAGAAATTACTAGGGTTACCTGCTTTTAGCAAAGGTCTGTGCAGAAACAGCATATGGAGTAATTACCTTTAGACAGCATATCATTCTTCTGAAATTTTATTGCATTTAAGATGTAAAGTATATAATCATGGCAGGATGCAATATAATACTCAACTATATCATAACTATGGAATGTAAAGCTACAGTACATGTATGTCCTACTTTTCTGGCTCATGTAGCCACTCTGTAGAAACTTTGTGCTGAAATAAGAAATGGGGGAAACAAGAAAAACTGTGACCAAATAGCAACTGTTGAATTGTTTTAGGTTTTGAACTATGCAAGCAAAAGATCAAAACTCACTGAGCACTAGCAAGTATACTGCACAGTAACCAGGAGCTAGAGTTCTAGAAAGGAGTATGCAGTTATAGCAGTAGCACACACAGATGACCAAATGGATGTCTATGTGGTCATTTGCAGTTACCACAAAGGTTACAAGTAATATAAATAATATTATTAGCAGCAAATAATGCACACCTTCACAATTCTAAAAATCTGGCCCCGATTGACATATAGGGTTATGAGCATTCAAATGATTAAAAATTGCTGCTATTGTAACATATGTTGCTGCGTTGTGAATAATTATGTAATACTATTATTTTATCAAGAAAACTATTACTGCTCTGCAGTGGCCGCTTATCCCTCAGAAATAATTAATTCCTCCTTCATGTGCTCTAATGCCCTAGGTTTTATATGTATAAAATTTGTACTTCAAAAACAGACATTTTTAAAAAAACGTAATTTTAAAAAGTCATTGGAACCATAAATATAGTAGTGACCAGAGTAAGTTTTAGAAATTTTCCAACTATACCTTTTACTTATATTATAAATGAATGATAATAGTTCTTTCAGAACTGGGTCAAGTTATATAAATAGTACATATTTTAAAAAGTCAATAATTACATATTTACAGAGGATTGTAGTTATTGATCACAAAATAATTTAAAAAGTCACTAGCAATGCACATTATTTAATTGATCAGCAGTCATTATGAAGTACTTAGTAAATAAAAGCAATAAAGGACAGTGTCAGAAGTATTTTGTCATGAATAATTATAGTTGCCAAAGCTCCGTTGCTTAGAATGTCAGTTTAGAAGCACGAAAATAAAATAGCATTCCCGTTCCGATTTACTACCTTTTCATCTGACAAGTGCTGACTTCTTTCCTGTTTCAAATTAACCATACAATTAGGAATTAATTTTTTTGCCAGTTCTGCAACTGCAGAATTCAAAATGCTGTTTTTGCTACTCTGTATCCTACTTAAATGCAACTGCAGATTTTTCAAAAACAAAAACAAACAAACAAACCAACCACATTCCCAGCTATGGCCTAATAGATTTAAAAACTCAGAAGTTGCCTGTAGTCTAGAGGACATCCTCCACTCAACTGTAATAGTTTTAAAAGTAAGTCAAATATCAGTCTGCACAGGATTGACACTATCCTTTACAGATTACAAAGGCAAAAACAAAGCACTGTAATTTTTATTTTTAGATACAATAATTAAAGATGGAGAGTCATATTTTTAGTCTTCACTTTAAATTTCCTTGCTTTGGAAATTAAATCACACACTTAATTAGTGGTCAGTTTGATATTTTTATTTTATTTTTTGGAGGAGGATTGCTTGGTTTAAGATTTTAACTCAAGTAAAATAGCAAAATACCTCAGGTGACCCACTAGTAATTTCTTCATATTTCAGTCTAAATTGTGCAAACAGAATGCAAACAGTGAAAACGACAAGAGGTCTCCGACTTCTGCTGCCATTTCTTACTCCCCTTCATGGTTGGCTCCCTTCCTGCATGCGCTATTCTACTAGATTAATGAAACCCCAAACATTATTGGGTTAGATCCTGGACTGTGTTAGCCTATAGTTCAACCGTTTGAAGTAAGGTTGTCAATATGGTACAAACACACACATGCACCAGAGGCATGAAACTGGTTAAAATTATTCTCATTCTCCATGAATGATTAAGCCTGGGCTAATTCCTTCCTGTTCTATTTCAAAATGCATTTCCATTTCTACCTCAGCGAGTGAGTCAGTCAAGGCAGATTATAAAACTCCCAGAGCAAATCTGTGTTCTTTAAGTCATTATAAGAACAGCAATCAATTGGAACAGAGTGCAGTTGGTATCCCCAGGGGTATTAAGCCACAAGACTTTGCTTTGAAATGCCACACAGCACTGCAAACCAGGCAGAATTACCTTATGAGAGAATACATCAAAATCACATGTGCCACACTTGTGCTAGGCAGTTATAGCGCCATCTGTGCTTTTGGGGAGTCAAGAAGTGCTTGAGCAAGGAGGAAAGAAGGAATAAAAAAAATTTATTTTAAAAAAATACTGGAAAAAGAAAAAAGGTGGCATTATTTGCATCAGAGTTAGTGATTTTTCCGTAATTTCACATATTTTAACCGTGAGCCTATGAGAAATCATATTAGCTTGAAAAACACTTACTACTTCAATATCTTCACTCTATACCACATGGATACTAAGTATCCACTGAGTCATCAATTGCTCTAGCATGGAGTTCCACTTTCTTAAGGCATACAGGTCATGTACACATGTTTTCTGCGGAGTTATTTATCTTAAGGAATTCCCCTGATATTTGTTTTTTCCCCTTGTTTCATTGTAGTTCTTTTACTGACCAATACTTCAGCTATAATTTGAAACTACAGGACAATTTTGCCAGCAAAAGAAGTACTGTAGTACAGCTAAATGGGAACACAGAGAGGATGATCATTAAGAACTGTTTCTGCTAGATCATGAGATCTTGTTTTTCAAGTTGTCCTCACGTCTGGCTGTAGAACAGTTATCCTGCAGCAATAGGGAAATTCCATGTTTGTCTCACAATATATTGTCAGCACTCTTGCCTCCTGGCCAAAAGAACATGGGGGTGAAGTCCAGCCTAGTTAGCTAGTGGGGCACTGGTTCAAGGAAGGGGATTATCCTCAACATTATAACAAGATCTCAATATTGCAAAGTGAATTTTTTTCTATTATATTTTAGCATCACAAGAACCAGTGTTTCATGCAGGTATAGATAGATGTTTTTCACTCTGTCTTCCCAATAAGAGTTATATCCCATACAACTGAACTTTTGCGCTATACATCAAAACTTTTCCCAGTAAAGCAAAATGGAATAGAATATAACAATATATTACATTTGAAGGGCATCATTTAAAGATTCTATGGAAAAAAATATGGGTGTTAAACCTTCTGTGGATTTTACGTATCTCCCCCCGCCCCCACACACACTTCCTCCGCGTTTATTTGGCTAGTGGTCTGAAAAATCAGTGTTATATAGCTACTTTGCTGTACTGAATTTGTCACATCCTCTTTCTTCCCCACCTCCTCCTGAACAGTGCACAAAAAGACATCTCAATTTAGAGCCCTTTCTGGGAAAGAGAAAGAAGACATGATATTATGGCAATCCTTATAAATTTTATCTTCAATCCAATGTTTGAATGCCTTAAAAAATCAATTGCATTTCTATTCACTGAGTGTTTGTAGTAGCTACCAATAGTAGCAGCAGAAGTAAGCATATAGGATAAGATAGTGCATCCGCTCTCTTACCTCCATGATAGGGTTGGAAGCCAGTACTTTCTCTTCAACATTAGCTTCACTGGCAGAACCACTTACAGTGGCAAAGTATCTCATGGCATACTTAGCAGAGACAGTCTTTCCTGCTCCAGATTCCCCACTTACAATGATTGACTGATTCCGTTCATCTCTGAAACACAAAAACATGTTAATTACCAGCTGTTTGCTAAAGTAGACCTATTTTTCATGTATCCAACTTGGCAACAACCCTTTCACCATATATGGTAACACTACATATAATGTGCATGCATATGGTTAAAAGAAGGCTGTTGATGATCTAGCTTCTTGTTGAGCTAACTGGGCCCTAGTGCTTGGCCAGGATGGGAATTCAGAATCAACACGGCCATTTCAGTCTGCTCTGACATTAGATTTCCTCCAAAGCACTTGACCCTGTAAATTAACTTGAGCTTCATCCTGTTTATCTCAATAACACATTGTAGTGCCTTCTATCCAGATTCCCGAAGTGCTTGACAAAGCTGGGTAATTATTACTGCCCGCATTTTACAGATGGGGAAATGTGTAGCATATTCAGAAACAAAAGGACTGTCTCCTAACTCCTGTTCTTCTTATGTAACCATAAGACAATTCTTCCTGTAACCCTATTCCCTGCATTTGTTCTAGACATTAGTGTTTTGAACAGTCTTGCTTGATTATTTAACAGCAGCTCTAGAGCTAAAAGCGTCCCTTTGTTGTAAGGCAATTTCTTCTTATTTTTTTAAAAATCTCCATTTGTTACCATTTTTTTCCCTTCCAAAGCAAGCCTTGCCCATAGCCTCTGGTTTGAGAAGCTCTACATCTAACGAACATGTAGCTTTGCCTGTGAAAACCACTGTTTAAAAAGATCCAAACCTTTTAAAGTGTTGTAACAATAAAAAGTATACATCACTTCTACAGAGCTTTAGATTTCCAAAGTAATGGACAAACTATAGCTAATAAGGTTTCAGACAGATATCCCTGTAAGTTAGGTAAGCATTATCTCTAATTTACAAATGGGAAAACTGAGAAAGAAAGGATAAATGACTTGCCCAAGAATGTATTGAGAATCATTGACAGAGCTGGGATTAGAGTTCAGGAGTTTGTTCCTAA